GGGTTACTGAGGAAATTGGATCGAGGATAGTGTGGTAATGGACTGGCTGGCTGGCTGGCTGATGGTGAAGGTTTTGAGGGAAGGGTGGTTGTGGATGGGGTTATGTCCAGTCTTGGGCACCCTCAGGCTCGACTCTGATGGTTGGTATTGGAGTTTGGTTCCTCTTGAGATACAGGATGAGATATCTTATTGCGGGACATCTGGGTTGGGTCTTCGCGACGGCTTATCATTTCACGGATCGACGATACTTCACTTTCTCTCGTGTGTGAATGTGGAGAGCGGATCATGGGATGTGATTCACGGATCTATGAGATGTTATTGGGGAAATGGGGGCTGCCATGGGCTGGCTGGCTGGCTGGCGGTGAGGGCGTCGGGGCGATGATGGATGTGATTATACCCAGTCTTGAGTATCCCCGAGGCCCAAGTATTGTTGGTTGGCTGAAGTTTGGATCTCTGGATGAACAGGACGTGCTTCCCGTGTTTTTTTTTTTTTTTTTTTCTTTTCCCCCCCCCCTTCTACGCACATCTACATTGGCTTTCAGACGTCCTAAGCGATGGAGCTTGGGAATTTCTGTGATGTCCCGTCGTGAGATGGGGGAAGAAGACGGGCGTTACCAACATTCCATTGGGTTACTACTGGCCTATCGCTGATGTTGCCACGGTTCACAGACTTTTCAACATCGATGAAAGATGTCAATCCTAGTCATTTATGTGAGAATGATATGTGTTGACTCCGGCTGAAACAAGCCGTTGAGGACCGCGGAATGGCAGTTGAGCTCGAAGCAGGCTCAAGGCGGATAACCTGATCGTCAGACCACTCATTCACGTTCACCGTCCTCACTCAAGATTACTGCATGGGACATTCAGCTCGATTGATGGTGTTTGAATCCATGACTGGGAGAAGAGATGTCTTCTCATTTTGCCTAACATATGTCGTCCCGGGCGAACCGAAATGCCGAATCTGATCTTGACCAAACGGATGGTTGCTTGAAACAGTTGCGTTTCAGTTCCTCTTTTTCTTATCCAATAGCCTTAAAGTTTAGCAGCACAGCTGTTCGCCGACCTAGCTGTACAGGCGGCCAGCTACCTTGGTCGACGATTTTTTTTAGCCTATTCAAGAAAAAGCTTAGGAGGGAAGTGTCGTGAAAGCCTTACAGAGTGCCCTTGCTAGCTCTTGCATTAGGTTTGCAGCTCTAGTGCCCTACACCATGGACGACCACAATTGTCGGAAAACAGGACCGCGCTTTCCTTGCTCATGTCTATTGTATTGTCATGAGCGTAAGAAAAGGAGCGGCTGGCGGCGGTCACTCAGAATGATCTTGTGATTACCAACAGGTTTGCGTGGCGGCTTGGGTGGGAGAAAGGACAGGGTAAAACGTTCCGGTTCGGTTACTGCGCTATTGGTGATACAGTTTCGCCGATACTATCTCACGGCTTATGCTGGCGAGCTGACAAGCAGTGTCAAAATTGAGATGGAGGAGGCGGATCAGCTTCCAGCGGCCAACAGCCATCAGCTGGGTTGGAGTCGTTCGTGTCTTGCATACCTAGCAATCTCGCAATGAATTTCGAATGACGTGAGAGTCCAGTTGCTGTGGTACATCCCTCAATGTCGCCAAGTGCTCCTAGCTACCTCTACCGTCTCTACGCCAGGAAGGCCACATCGGTGTTTCTCGGTTTCGGTTGAATTACTGGATGATTTCGTCAACATTCTTACCCTCCTCTCCTTATTGGAGGACGCCTCGTGTTCCTTGCGCGTCCAACTAACCGAAGCATTGGTGAGGGAACATTGCATTGAGGCTGAGCAAATTCGCTAACCACACTCCCACACCATCGCCACATATGAATGGCACACTTCGAGGAACTATGTTTCTCCAAGCATACATATGGTGTAATAGTGGACCGAAAAATGGTGCCCTTTGGGTTGGGAAGCCTCGTCATCCTCCGCTGAAGTTCAGACATCGCGATGAGTAATTGTTGTGAAGAAGAATGGAAAAGAATGTAGGTAATTACTGGGCGATGAGAAGTCAAGGGGGGAAGATATCTATCTGCAAACGAAAAATGACAACCTGAGAATTGGACATGTCAAGGTAGTGGTGAACAGACATGTGACATATCAAAGAAATGGGATACACGACGAGATGTGTGAAGAAAGCAGCAAAACGCATAGTTAAGAGAAGTCAACCAAAACAAGGACACGGAAAACAGAAAGAGGAGAACTGCCGTGCTAGCTATCTGCCACCCTCTGAAGCTGTGAACACATGTCCGAAGCAATCCAACTAAAATTCCATGTGGTGGTGAAGGAATGACCCAACCGTAAGTTGCAAAGACAAAGCGATCGCTGGGAGTTGTAATAGAAACAGCGACCCTAAAGTCTCGTGGAAGAAAAAATCAACCAAGGACCCCAGAGATTCTTTAACGAACCAAATTCGACATCAAGTCCCATTAGCCTGCACTTGCTTCACCGGTTCCTTGAAGCATGCTTCATAGTAATACTCATCCAGTTTCCCGTGAAAATCCGGATGCACCCTCCCAATCTTCATGACCTTCAAATCATCCTCCACCGTAAACACCCTGCTACAATCCAGCCTCGCCAACGGGCTGATATTCTGTTTTCCTTCCTCCAAAATAACCGCGAGTGGCCCAAACACGATGCCCTCCTCCTTGTCCGGCTCCGCTGGCGGCACACTAGTAGAGTACAGCACGGCCAGGTGCTCGCCTCTGGCTCGGTTCTTGGCCATGGATTTTGCCCCTCCGTTAACGATGGCAAAGCACAGCGAGTGGTGCAGCTGCTTGCGAATTACCACGAACCACCGGAAATGCTCGTAGGGCTTTTCCTTGTTGTAGTTGGGGCAACTCTCGTGGCAGGCGAGCTCGGCGGGTCGGGCGCGAAGGGAGGCGGAGTAATCGCCCAAGGGCTCGAACCAGACAGTCTTGAAGATACGGCCCTTTGTAAAGAATCTTCGGGGTTTGTCGATTTTGAGGTACTCTGGTGATGGAGATGCGTCAGCTTACTCGAATGATGTATAGAATAGAGCTGGAAGATAAAGAAGGGGGTAAGATGACTTACGTGGTATCGAGATAGTAAGCGCTGCTGCCTGGTCGTTTGTGGTGTCGCCTGTTAAGGACATGGGGGGATCGATCTGAGTGTCTTTCTTTTGATACTGTGAGTATCGAAGCACTATCCCGTCAACAGGGACTTTCTCGCCGTGTATGCCCAATCCGCATTGTTCACAATTCATCGGGTCTTTTCGATGAACATAGTCCCTAATGCTAGAGTCTCTCTCCCACTTTAGGCGGACATAGTCCGTGGTGGGCTTCTTGTGTTTGACTGCTTTGGGCTGAATAGTTGATTGTGTTACACAATATGATGATGGCTCCGTAGGGACATTGTCATCACCAGGCGCAGTCGTGCCTGGGGTTGTCGACACCGTTGATAGTAATGTCTTTCCAGACGAAGTTCTGTCCGTGACATCTGCTACTTCTCTCGTTGTTTCTTCTATATGCTCGTTAGCTGTAAACCCTCGTATGCAAAATAAAATTCATGGGAATGAGGACCTTTGGGCAACGTAGGTTCTGACATCGGCGTGGGGATGTTTGTTGCAGTCCTTGAAACAGACATCTCCGAGCCTTTGAAACTTGATGATGTACGGGTCCTGGCTGTAGAATCTCGCTCTGACCCGTCGAAACTTGATGGCAAGCTGGTCCTAGCTGGAATATCCATCTCTTCTGAGCCTTCGAGACTTGGTTGATCTAGAGGTCTTTTAATTTGCATATAAATATCTGCATGAGGCGAGCTGTCAGAGTCCATCTTGATAAAGTGTTCAATCAGAAGCATAGGCGTGGATAGAGAATGATGACAAAGATGGTTTCTAGACCAGTAATAGTTGTTTCTAGACATTCCAAAATTTGGGAACGAGACGATTTTCGGCATTCAGGCAATATGTGTCAAAGATTGGCCTCATCCTCGCGCTTGGAATGAAAGCGATGGAAGGGACGAACCAAGTACAATCTGTCCCGAAAGCAACTATCTTAGTTGATGTGTCCTGTTGAGGAACTCAAGAAACCCCCATGATGGAGTAGCTTGGCGCCTGAAGATGATATGGTTGAAGATAGATATCTTCCGTTTTTCAATGTTTCAGGAAATTTGGGAGATAAGACGACTTAAGAACAATCAGAGAAAAGAGGGATGAATTGCAATGTGTCCCGTGTTTCTTTCATTTTGCTATTTTTTTTTGTGAGGAGGCGCAGGTTCTGTATGAGGTACAGTACCTGGTAGGTATTATCGTATGTATTTACGAGGTGCCTGCAGGAACGGGCTGATAATGTGGCTTGGCAATACGAGACGATGGTGTAAACTTGACTGACATCTAGCTGAAATTTCCATCGAAACTGGTCACAGCTTGCATCATTGAAGACTTTCAGCTTCCAGTATCTACGCTATGGATGTCGCAAACGCTGAGATTGAATCTGTTAATCAGTACTGGCTTCCTCATAATTGCCAACAGCTCGTGGGTTGCAGAGAAAATCAAGCTGCGGGGGAATTATCGTGTCTTCAGTTCTTCTGAAAATTGGCCATCGACCCCTCCTCCGTGAATCATGGAGATACTTTCAGTCGTCAACTCGTGTAACGGTACTTCTTAAAATTCTCAATATCATCCTCAGCCTCCAACACACATAATCGGCTTACCTAACGTTCAAACCATCACCCGGCCCTAGTGGTGGCAAGATTAGTACAGCTCAAGAATGCAGCCAGGCTAGTGGTTAGTTGTTTTGCAAGTTGACCAAACAAACGCGCGTGCTAACAGTATATTCAAATCCGTCCAAACGGATATAATTCCGTTGCGTATGATGTATACTCTTCACACGTCAACTCTCTGAGCCTAACAACAAAGCAGTTCTCGATAGGAATTTGATCAGTCAGGGCTGAGTTCACTGTTGGCGGTTATCGGACCTCATCATCACAATCCATCGCTTTCGAATTATGGAGAGCGGTCGTATCATAACTGAGTTACCACATAACCTTCGACGGAAGCCTCCCCGGTTATCCCATCTACGTTTTGAGGCGGAAAAAAAAAACAAGAAAAAAATAAAATAGAAAAAAGAAACGCAACAAATGGTGTGAAACGCAGCCACGGTATTTCATCACTCGAACCTTCAGATACTTTGTACCCAAAGTTCACTGTATTCAGAACCCGGCCTTACCGGCGTGCGGCGATGCATGCGGGTTCCCAGTAACCCGGTTAGCGGGCTGTGCCGGTCACGACTCTCCAGCCAGCCAGCCAGCCAGCCAGCCAAATGATACATGTGACTCAACCTCAACACATAACTTCAAAGCAGTCTTTCAAGTATGAAGCCTTCGCTTGGTAGTTGGTGAGAGACATCCACTAGGTATCAAGTCTTGTTCAGTCACCGCCAAATCTCCTCCTTCGGTCATAACAAGTGAACAGCCAGGAAAATAGGTAATCTGCTGAAAACGTCTATACACTGATACAGATTGTCTGTACACTGCTAACCATGAGCATTTGCCCAACGCCAATGTGTAAGCCTTGAATAGCGGCACTAAGAACCTGAGATCGTTGGCCGCCTCGGCCAGTGATATCTTCCGTTTCTCCTTATAAAAAGCCTTACACCATGATCCAGCCACGTCACACAATCCCGCGCTGCAGCATCCATGGGCCGTATCCGCCACCTCTAAACAATTGGAACTTGAAGAGACGATGTGCATCCGTTCAGCCTTATACGCCGAAGAAAGTGTTTGTCATAGGGTAGGTAGGATGCCCTGAGATAGTGATATGTTTGGCGAACAGAACTACTACGTTCAAATGTTGGTGGTGCAACGAAGGGGGCCATTGTGCGCTTTACTCCGTCGAAAAGAGATTGCAGCTTTTCCTCACCGAAGGAAACCTGCTTCTTGATGTAACATGAAGGTAGTCTTGGGGTCAAGGCTGGGTTACTTTTTCATCTAGTCGTACAGGTAGGTATGAATGGGGCTCCGGTGTTAAGACGTCTCATGGGGGTTTCTTAAACTCCGTCAACCAACCGCAAAGACTCAAACTTGGTAATGTACATCGTGTTGACCGTACATAGGTTATATTTTGTAGCGTCCAACTTAAAAACGTGAAAGTTCAAGATGACGGGAGGCTATCCACAATCACCAGCCATCCTGATGGACTTTGGTACTTCATATTCTCTACCGTGGAACAACGAAACCAAATGTGGTTGATAGGTATGTGATTGACTATAAAAAGGAAAGTGTTAAATCTCAATACAACAACTTGGTGAAAAGCCATGTCAACCTACTTCTCCCCTGAGCCTCCCTCACCCCAAACCCGGCACTCCACCTAGAACTCCCTATATTCAGGAGGCGGCTCATGATCTCCCTCCACCTCAAGCCCAAATCCACTCCCATGTCCATCAGGAATAGCAGCCGAGTTTACTTCAAGTTCAGTCGGGTGGGATCGCCGTTGCCGCTGGTCTCCATGGAGAAAAGAAGAACTCCCTGCTGCACCCGACCCACCACCCGTATATTGCAAAGCCTCTTCTTTTGTCTCACCCTTAGGCTTTCCACCTTTGGAGTCAATATCTCCACTTTCAACTGCATGCGCACCACGGGGATTTCCATCGTTATTGATGGGAGGAAGTTTCGACCTAGTGGATGAAATGGGCGGCAGGGTCAATAATCCGGCGGCTGCGGCGGCCGAGCTTACGCGGGGTGGAATATGGACTGAGAGGGGCAAACCGGGCGTGAAGTCTGAATTTATACCGTTGCTGTGCCCATGCGTGCCAACATTGTGGAGGCCGAATGACTGCTGGAGCTGTCGAAGATACTGAGCTTGTTGAGCAGCATCTCCGCTATTCTTGGCACCAGCGGCGGCCACATGATCCAATGCTGTCGGTTTTCCGTTTTGTCCGAACGTGTCCAGTTCTTGTGGGGGGAATTGGAATAACTGTTCATCTGAGCCGTGGTGACCGTCCCATATACCAGGGTAATTGTCGTTGTCAGCTAGTTGCGCGGCTCTTCTTAATCTCGCAATCTTCCGCTTTCTCCGCCGTAGCCAGAACCAGATGATGGCTGCGAGAGCCGTGCTAATTGTGATGCTAATACCAAGGGCAATACCAATGTAACTACCGATAGAAAGGGCTTTCGGATTGTCGACAGGGTAGTGGCGAGAGAAAACTACGTTGTTGACGGCGGACGTAGGTAGTGAATCGATGTCATTAGGGTCATCATTACCACCATCACCAGCGCTACCAGTAACACTGACGTTCGTGGCAATCGAATTATATGCAGCCGCGACATGGGTTATGGGTGGAATGCTGGCTGTGCTACCGAGAGGGCTCCAGCAAGGTGTTTGGCCACCGATGGCGGACGTGAAGAAAAAGTATCCGCTGTTCATCTTGTTAGAAATTGGAAGAATGCAGGTAGACAGGGGATACTTACGCTGGGCAGCAACCACCCGAAACAGAATAGTAGTCATCCGGGCATTGTTTCAGTTTTGCCGAATAACCACGAGCAGGTTGGGGATAGTTGTCGCCACGCTTGTGTTCGATCTCAATTTCGGGCTCTACCTCTACGTTGACAGTGGCAGAAAATGAGTTCGTTGCAGAATTTGCAGCGACTGGCCATGGGCAACACTGAGGCCGGTCGTCGTTACAGCCTTGGAAGCCGGCATAGTAAATGGTGTAACCCTCGTTCGCGCCCACAAGAGTGAAATCCGTCGATGTACACTCGCCGGAAAGAAGAGAACCCGATCCTGTATAAATCGGGTCATTGACTCGAGTAAGAGGGGCGTGATCCTCACCACTGACTGCATATACAACATCAGGTTTGCTATTTCCACACGATATCAGTATGTTTTCTGTTCGAGTTGATTAGTTCAGGGGGTCACTTGAACTTACGTGAAGCTTACGTCGACGGTCCGTCTAATGATCTGGTTAGCAGAAAGAAAGAACCCTCGGCATAACGAAAAGTTCATGAAGAAAAACAGAGAAAGGTGAAATAAAGAGGTGAACAGGGAAAGAAGACACGTAAGAAGATCAGAAAGATTGGATGGATAGCTTACGGCTGTGACATTTCCGCCATCACGGACGGAGGAGGAGTATCTCCACACCAGTTTTGATACCAATTCAGTTGCCAATCTGGACGACTGATGTTAGCTCGTATTTCGCGGCTAAAGTGCTGTAAAACTACTTACTGTCGCCACCATATCCATCATTCCAACAATTAGGGTCGTCATTCTCAGCTTGGGACATGCACTTGAAAAACTTCTTTGCATGTTCGCAGAAGCAACCCCAACCCGCCGTCATTCCCCAGGTGTTGACGCCGTTGTCGCTTTGACAAGTTTGATCCCCGCGCATGTAGGGGCCAGCGCAAGAATAGAATTGATTAGCCTAGAGGGAGTTAGAAAGGCTGTCCCGCGGCATAGAAGAAGACATTCACATACATGACACGGCCTAGATGTCGCGCCCCAGCCTCGTCCTGGCCAACGATCAGGGGGGAACTTTTCTGGCCAAAAGTCTGCTGGCCAAAAATCTGTTTGGCGAGGCTTCAAAGCGGCTTCATAGTCCTTGCCCGGCAAGGCTGACTTTGCCGTTGCTGTTGACAATGCTGGCGGTATAGGTGAAGCTGCGGGCAGCAACGTGATGGCAGATGTAGCTAACATGGCATGAGCGTTAAGACCTAGATGGGAAGAAAAGACATATCAGAATGGAGATATCTGGCGCCGTCAAGCTTTTGTAGCATTACCGGCTTGCGAGTTTTCAACCTCGTGAAGAAAGCACATTGTTCGGTTTTGGTTTGGGAACAACATCCGAACTACTCGAAACTCAAGTGGTGTGGCTGAGGCAATCTAGACATCGAATGTCAGGCACATCAAACCTGGCACTCAAAAGGCAATGCATTGCTGTCGCGGAGTTGGCAGGTCGCAGTAGACGCGAGGTTGCTGCAGAGGTAAACATCTTGCACCCGTTGCTTTGTCGTGATAAAAGGAGGCCTCGATATCCATATCAAGCAGAGGATAAAAGCTGAGTTGCTCGAAGGCATGGCTGGTGTAGGGTGGAGGAGGCGCACTGAAGACACTGGCATCTGTTAGCCATACTTTGAGCCTTTGTATCTGTGAAGAGAACGAGCGGCTCTTTATCGGGGCCCTGGCCTGGACAGATCTTGGCTTAATGTGACCGACAAAAGAGGTCAAATTCACAAGTTGAACTTGAGAGTCGACGTCTGACATTTGATGGGCTGTGTTAACTGGAGAGTTTTGATTGCATGGTGCGTGGACTTGCTGTCCAGATGACGTTCAGCACCGCAGTGCTTCTGCAACCCAATCTTCCGGTCGTCATAGCCCTATCGCAAAGTGTAAACGGCTAGATATGTGCAGTCTCTTGCAGAAATAGCCTGCTCCAGATGAGAAACCGAGGGATTCAAGATGTCATCATGAGGCCATGATTCCAGGTGAGGTGCCTTGGGGTTCGGGTTCGGGTCCGGGTTCGAGAAGATACTCGTTACGCACACCAGGAACGTGTTTCGCGAGATGGTGTTTGTAAACATGAAGTCGTAGAGAGAGCGAGACGAGAGAGTTCATCAGCGGGCGGGAGACCTTGTGGTCTCCTGATAAGATACCTACCTGCGCACTCCCATAGCGCGCCACCACGGTCTGTGAAAATGGTCCTGGGTATGAACTTAGTGCGATTGGATTCTTTTTATATAGAGGGAAAATTTTACAGTTTGAAAATCATACTAGGTATAATCACTTACTCAAAATGATAAAATTCAAAGAAATAGCTTTTTATATAAAATATTTTATTTGCAAAAATTATCTTGGGAATTATTTTGGATAGACTTAATTTTTGAATAGTAATATAATTTTGAGAAAAAGGATTATTTTACACTTATTATAAAAGCTTTTAATATACTAAAATAATATTATACTATTTAATACTTTTTAATAATCATCTTTTTTAATTAACTTTAAATTTAATAAATATTTTCTATTAGTAGAATTTTACACTTATACTTATTAAATAAGCTTAGTAATTTTACAATTGTATTCTCTTAAAAGAATTTACAATTATACCTCATTATTAACCTTAGAATTTTACAGTTAAAAACTCTCAATATAATTAAATAAGATATTTACACTTATATTAAAGTTATTCTCCTCTAATACTAAATATCCTCTTTATAATTAGAAAAAAATAAACTTTTTCCTTAGAAATAACTATTTGGCTAAGTGGCCAAGTAGTTAATGAAGTAGTTCTTCATTATCAGGTCCGCATTCAATTCCTTGTTGTAGTTGAATTCTTGAAATTATTCTTACATATTTACTATATGTGAAAAAAAAAAAAAAAACTTCTACCTGCTTTACTATAATATAATTTCCAATCAAATTTTTTAAATATTCTAATTTGGGTTAGGGATTAACTTATTAAAGTACAATAGTCCTATCTAATTGAAAATGAATTTATATTTCAAAATGAACATTAGTATTAAAATAAAGTATTAAAGAAGTTAATCTAACAATGAGAAAATAAATATCGATATATATTAATTTTACTAATTAACTTATATTCTTTACTAAAATTATCTAATACTAAAATAATAAACTTTTACAGTTTATGAACTTTTATTAAAATGTACCTGTAGGTACTTTTACAACCAAAATCTCGTACAACTGTAAAATTATACTCAAGATCATTTTCTATATGTAGGGTGGCGCGCTATGGTCAATATGCAGTTGCGGGCCGTACCTTCCCTACTTGTAAACTTGACGCCGAGCGGGGACTGAACCGTCGGGTCATTTCCATGTCAGTCGCTCATTCTTCACAAAAAGCCAGGAGCAGAAAAGGGTCGTCTTCAGGAACCTTCACCAGCAAGCAATCAATTGCACCCTCTTATTACCAGGACATCAGCCTGCAATGGCCGAAACCGTCATGTCAGCCCGAAACCCTTCGAGCATGCGCTCATGGATGGACAAGCTTGGGTATGTCCAGAAAGAAACCATGATACAGAAGGATAGTCTGACTACTAATAATTCGCCCATACCCATCCCCATCCCCATTACACTTTACTTCCCAGCCGGCTGCTTTTCCCCACAAATCCTCCCCTCCTCATCAAAGAAGATCTCCTTAACCTTCACGCTTCTCAAATGATCCACTCCTTTGCTCAGTTCACAGTCATGATGGAACAACCACCACCTATCACTCTTCTCCGGGAACTCCATAATCGAGTGATGCGTCGTCCACCCCAGCACCGGCTCTAGAATCCTTCCACCATAGGTAAACGGTCCATAAGGCGAGTCGCCCACGGCGTAGCACAGGAAATGCGTGTCGCCCGTCGAGTAAGAAAAGTAGTACTTGCCGTTCCTCTTATGCATCCACGCGGCCTCAAAGAAGCGACGCTCATGATCGTCCGCGTCCAGCGGCTCGCCCGTCTCGGGAGCCAGGATGGTCACCTCGCGCACACCCTCCTCCTCGTCCGCAAACTCCAGCATGTCCTGCGTCAACCTGCCTACACGAGCTCCCAAGGACTTGACGCCCTTGCCCGTGGGTTCCTTGGGCCCTTGCCACTCGGCGTCAAACACGTTGTTTCCCTTTTGGTAGCACTGCAGCTGTCCACCCCACAGTCCACCGAAATACAAGTAAGCCTCGCCATCATCATCAACAAACGTGGCGGGATCGATCGAGTACGATCCCTTGATCGGCTCCGGCTGGGGAGTGAATGGGCCTTCGGGCTTGTCACCAACGGCGACGCCGATGCGGAAGATGCCCTGCTTGTCACGAGCGGGGAAGTAGAGGTAGTAATTGCCGTTCTTGGAGGCGGCGTCGGGAGCCCAGAGCTGCTTGGATACCCAAGGAACGTCTTCGGTCTTGAGGACGACGCCGTGGTCGGTTACGGGACCCTGGGGGTCCAGGGAGGGAGTGGAGAAGACGTGGTAGTCAGCCATGTCGTACTGGTCGCCATTGTCGTTGAACTGGATGTCGGTCTCGCGGTCGTGCGAGGGGTAGATGTACACGCGCCCGTTAAAGACGTGGGCGGAGGGGTCGGCGGTGTACATGTGTGTAATTAGGGGCGCCATGTTTTTCTTTTGTTCGTTTGTTTTGGTTGTGATCTTCGCCCGTGTAAGAGGGTGGAGTAAACAAACGGTTTTTGGCGGGGGAGGGTATGGGGGAAAAGTTGGGGTAACTTCCACTTCAGTGTGGGGTGAGGAAATGCGGGGGAGAACCGCTGGGGTAAAAGTTTGGATGAGATGAATGAGGCAAAGGCTGGCTGGAGGAGAGAGAAAGAACCACAGGATCAATCTGCAGGAACAAGATCCGTTAAATATTATGACTTGACCCAGGGATTCGGGTAGTCTTCTCCATCACCACCACCACCATCAGGTTAAATCGAACGGGACATGAAGCCGAATGATAACACATGTGCGGATGCAGGTTCCATGTTGGAGGGTTACTTTTTCCCTATTTATCCCCATTTAACCGTGACGCCAGTAACCCGGACAAGAGCCGGTGTGCCGTGCTAGGCGCGCCGTGGAAGCCCCCTCATTCGCGAACTGGCCGCTTCAAGGCGAAATCCCACATGGTCCATCCTCAACCCTCCCCATCGTGGTCTGAGTGGTCTGTTCAGGTAGGAAAAATTGAAAGAAGCTAGAATTTCCTGGATGAGTTGTGGGCGATCTTGAGGGGAAGAGTAGCCGAGAATGATTCGAGAGCGGGAGCTCAGCTGGGATGGAGGGGTCTCCATCTCTGGTTTTTTTTGTATGTCTGGAATTAACATAACCCTGTTGAGGCAGCAAAACCCATATTCCGTTCAAGGCCCTCAAGCACATTGCAATATTAGATTACTCCTCTGTTTTGTCCCGATTAGTTAGGTTATACTAGACAAGGTGAGTAATCGATGTGTTTCGTGTCATTCAACAGTCGTTATATACGCAAACAAACATGTGTCCCAAAATCATCAAGTCATATGTATCCCTCCCTCTCATCCACCCATCTCATCCCCCTCAAAGCCCTCCTTTCCAAATGAAAAAAATTATGCAGCATCCATAACCCCTGCCCTCAGTTTATTCAACGCATCCTCATACTTCCCGGGGCTATGATCCGTCAACATGCTCGTCCCAAACCTGACCTCCCTAAACCTGTGCTCCACATCCCTGATATACTTGAGTACAATTCTCTGCGCTGGCCTCCCCAAATGCCCTTCCTGTCCATCCAACAAGAACGCATCCCTTCTTAGGACTCTAGTACTCTCCACCACAAACACCTCCCCCGGGGGAAGAAGCTTATGGCTCATCATACTTGCCCTTAATACTTTCAGAGCGGCGTAAGCCCATTGGTCGTCATCCGAGAACTCAGGTCCTCTATCGCCACCGCTCCCTGGAGGAGAGGAAGAAGATGGCGATGATGGATCGCCTGCGCCGCCATGACCTGCGGCACCAGGATCATACTGCGACGACTGATTCCCTGCATACCACTTGTCCGCAATCCCCGTCTGAAAAGCCTCCCAAATCCGCTGACGCACCTCTACCTTGGCCTCGTTGTTATCCGTCTTAAACGCCAGCGCGACCGCCTGGAAATCATGCAACACTCCTAATGACAGATACGGAACCATGTCATTTCCATTGACGATGCTTGTAATCAATCCTCTTGTGGCCTTACACAGCGACGCAGACATGGTACTAGGCGGACCGTACGCGTACACGTGGACCGGTCTACCGGAGGGTAAGCAGACGTGTCGAGGCGGCTGGGCAGTTGCAAACCCGTCGACCAAAAAGTCGCCCAAGACGTGCGTGTGCGGATCAGCTGACGTGACGAAAGATGTGGAATTGCAACCCGGGGCGGGTTCAGAAAGCATGACGCCCAATAGGGCCGTGACGCCGCCGCCGAGGGAGTGGCCGGTGAGCACGAGGCCATAGTCAGGGAATTCTTCCAAGGCTTGTTTCAGGGTGTACAGGACGCGGCCATCGCCGCCATACAGCAAGCGCTTAGCGCTCGCGTGAATGCCCTTGTGTACTTTGTAAGCCTTGCCACGCCAGATGAGGTCGTCGTAGTCACATGTCATGTCGGCCAGGACGTCTTCGAAGCCGAGCGTGCCGCGACAGGCGAGTACTACCGCTTTGGAGTCATGATCGAGCGAGATGTAGTGCACCAGGGGCACACCCGTGTTGGTTGAGCCCGTGCCGTCCGACCCGCCTTGCGGGTCAACGAAGGAGGAGAGAAGGATGCTGCCGGCGTCGGATTCGGTGTGGTGTGCAAAGGAGCGTAATTCGTGGTGGGTCTCGGTATCCAAGGCGCGCAGGATCGGCATTTCTTTGGCGATGCCGAGCATTTTGAGGAAGTTGGAGCCATAGGAGGCGGAGGCAAAACGCATGAAGCGCGTAATGTTTCGCAGAAGATGGTGTTTGGGGAACATGCCGTCTACCATGCCAGCTTGGCGCAGTCCTCGCAGCGCTTCCGTGTTGCTGAATGCGCTTTTTTGAGGATCTCTGTACGGAATGAGAGATGATGTCGATTCGTGTGGCAGGGTATAGATGCTTGGTGTGTATCTTGACTTTACCCGTCTCAAGGTTTGGTATGATGGGAGACCGTACGAGTGGGAGAGGGCAGGGTCGGATGATCGAGGGTTAGCCACAGAGCCGGCGTCTTCGTTGTCAGTCTCGATTGCACACGGCGAAGGAGGCCTGGAGTGTCGAAAATCGTCGGCGGCCGAGATAGAATATGATTCGGTTTGTGAGTATACTGAGTCGCGGCGCCTCTCGTGAACAGAGATATAACTCGCACGCGATGGGGGCCGCATGTATTGAGACCTCTCTCCGTTCTTCCTCCCGAGGCTACTTGAGCTGCTCTTCGGAGAGACACCGGGTTCCTCTATCCTAGGAATTGAAGCGGAAGACTGGCGGGTAGCTGGGCGCGAAGAAGAAGGACGATGAGGAGCCAAAACCCGGACAGGGCTAGGTAAAGCAGACTTGTACTTTGGTGAAGTCTCAGGCTTGGTCAACCTTGTACTTCCCGAGCTTTGACTTTCTTTCTTCTTACGCGATGGGGTATCCGATACGAAAACATCTCTACTAAAGAACTTTCGAAACCCGCTCTTTTTCTCGATTGGTTTCCGCTTTGACTCGGCATCCTCTCTGCTTCTGGACGAGAAGGAACGATTGCCAGATGCTCGCGATATGGTCGTTTCCTGACGCTTGGTTGACGAGGAGGCTGTGGGTGGTATTCGAGGTCGCTTCTGATTTGCTGCGTTCTCACTCCGCTTTTTTGGCATTTGAAGTGACGGGATGCGACTCTTGGAAGAGCTGGAGGCAGCTGACGCAGAAGAGCCAGGACGAGGAGTGGCAGAATCTGGCAGGTGCTCTAGCGACCTGGTCGGTGCTGGAAGGAGGGCGTCGACTGTCGGCAATGAGCGTTCCGACATAGTCACGGTATCGTCGTCCAACTGCTCGACGTATCCGGTTACTTGGCTGATATCCCCATCCTCCTTGGTGATGGAATACCTTCTCTCCTGGTTGCGATTCAGCCGGTACACAACACGGCAGGCATGGGGGGTGTGGTCCGCCGCAGCCTGTGTCTGTGAGGAGACTTGACGGGTGTTCCTACTCTCCTCAATGAGTTCCACTCCAGGTGGCGGGGAGACCGGTATGTCGTGTATCGGTCCTTGAATATCGACGGTGATTGTTTTTGTGGTGTTTATCTTGGTGGTGATGGAAACCTTGGCATTGTCGCCGAGAGACCGTATTATTTGGTTCCTGATCCTTTCTTCTGCGTCTTCCTCGCTGTCGTGTGCATCGCTTCCGCTGGTGGGAGTCAGATCCTCTGTGAACTCACCGTCATGCACACCATAAACGCTTTCCTCGTGGACGTCGACCCGCATACCATCACTGAGAACTATAACATCCCAGATGACCTCTTCGATCTGATGCGCCCGTGTCTCCTCCTCAAGCGATCGCCGACACCATCTCTGCAAATAGGCCATACCGCAAAGTCCAAGCATCAAATCCATAACTCCCACTTGTTCGCCTTGTGCGCCAGTAGCTGGGTTCTGGAACTCCCTTCGTATAAGCGTGATGATGCTGGCCATGGCACGAGAAGAGTCAGTCGAGCCGAAGAACTGGTCCAAGGTGGAAAGAAGAAGCTGTGAGGTCTCGGACAACATGGCGATTGTTGTTCCAGTCACATGGAAGCCTGTGGTTGTCCAAAAGAGAATCTGACTCATGGTCCGATGTAGGTTTTCCAAACTTTTCTCCAACATATTCTCAGCCTCCTTTCTCCCATGTTCCGAAGAAGAACGAGCGATTGCGTCTCTGCCAGCCCTGCCGAGGATTCCTTCGAGGACAAAGCGACCCATTTCCAAGCTGGACAAGGTTGTCATCTTGGCAGCGTCGAAGCCATAGCCGGTCAAGAGAGTGCCCACCCGGAGGGCAAGACCAGTCGATCTGGTTGCGAAGCTGACGGCTCGGGCCACGGGGGAAGGCAGAAGAGTCCTTCCGGGGTTCGAAGGGGCAAGTTCCTGGAGCTGGGACGTGATGGAGTCGTCCGGGACGACAGCCAACCGCGCTCCCTCATAATCTTCGATATCTTCAACATCAAGCGCCGAGAATTCCATCGTACGCCGAGAGTGTTGAGGAGAGACTTTTTGGCGGGGTGTTATGGTGTGTGTGCAGAAATCGTGTCCGAGTTCTGTTACCGAGGTATATCGGACTCCCAACAATCTTGGCCGTCATCCGCCCAAAGGAGTCAACAAACAAATAAAATGATAAACTGAAGCAACAGACGACGGGTGTCAAAACTTTGCAAGAACAAGAGGGAAACGTGCAGCTAAAAACAATAAACGACCAAACTCTAGGTATATGTGAGCAAGATAGGCTGAATCAAACAGATGTTCGGGCACAAGGAGAGATGACATGTCAACTCCAAACCTAGGAAACATGTCGTCGAAGGTGGGCAGCGGCAAAGTACCTAGACATCGCCAGAAAACTACGAGTCGAAGACACCTGCCATCCGAATCCCACCCCGGTGGCCCCAGGGCCCCATTGTACGAGATGGTGGCGGCATGGACGAAGAGTTTGATAGGTGGTGAAGCTTGGGCCTGGACTTGATACTAACAATTCTTAAGTCATGAATCAGTCCAATGGATGACGGTGATGAAGATGAAGATGCGGGTACAGGGGAGACTAACAGACGGGAGTGCAGGTTCTAGCATCGACGTGATGCACAGATGGCGGTCATCTGCCCGTGGATAGCATCAGAGGGCAAGCGCTTTTTCGACCTTGATCCCTCCCCCCCAACCCGTTCCCCTAACCAGTAGTAAGGCAGCTGCAACTGTCCAGGGAGGCCTAACCCCGCGCTGCACGACATCAGAGTAACCTGTTCCTGGTAAGTTGGGCAGCCCTCGATATTGGATCATGTTAGTCATTGTTACAGTAGGGTTGTCATGTCTCGGGCGAGCATGCGACTGAGGACCCCTGGCAGGTCGATTATGGATGTTTTGTTACATATTTAAATTCCCAACCCGACTTGTCGAAGAGCGAGCAAGTCTGCGGACAGACCAGCAGGATGGAAGCAGCTAGAGAGCGGGAGAAAAAACAATCGATCGATGAAAGCTAGGGCCTTTTCTTTTGTTTTGGCGCCTCTTTTGCCCCTCAATCCTTTCCCAACAGTTTAGCTGTCAGCCCACCTTGCAACGCTCCAAGTTGTTGTGACGTTGACGTTCAGCGTTCAAGAGGGAGAATGACGGGAGTTCGAGATAAGAGACACCGCTCATCTGCACTCTGCAACCGACTGGTATGGGATGAAAGTATGCATGCAATCCCGCGCCGATCCAGTCACAAGCCTTGACATTTTGTCTGCATGGCCGATCCGTAGAGGTGCCCCTCTAGACATAGGCCGTCGTCGATTTTCAGCCGTATCAAAGTGTCCTTGCCTCAGGGACAATTCTAAGTAAAGGTTGAGAAAGTAGGTTATAGAGCGTCAATTGGCCGCAATTGGGGAATTTCGCTCAGTCCAGGTCCAATGCGCAAAGGTGGCGGCGGCAATGTCTCGTATCCTTTATCGTATTCCTTCTCTGGACGGCCGTAGCCTCGATAGATGAGCCGACTGCGCCTTCCGGGAAGAGGCATAATGACATGTGATGGCTTGGGTTCCTTTTTATTCGTTCCCCTCCACTGTTGATATTGAAGGTGATGTTGACTGGAACAAGGTATTGCCCTTGCTGCTGCTACGTTTGGCCATTAATGCGAAAACCATGGGTTAGCATGATCCAGGGCTGAAGTATGCCCCCTCAATAATGGAGATGGCGGGGCAGCTCAGCTCCTGTACAGCTGCTGGGCTGCATTGGCATGCGGTGAGAAAATGAAACTTCCAAGATCCCGCCCGTTGCGCCGCCGGCTCAATTCTTTTGTCGGCGTTTGCAAAATACTTTGTTAGACTGTAGTGACCTACCTTGCAGTCATCCATACGACAACTCCAAAGATTATAGTGTCCGAATTGTAACAATTGCGGGTGACAATCGTTTGGCTCGTGCTGGCCGTTCCTTACCTACCTCTATTCTTGAGTCCCCTACCGCCGCTGCCTGCTTCGGCTATTCCCGCCCGCTGAACATCTTCAGCGGAATAAGCGAATAGCGAGAGGACAAGTCAACAATCCGCCGCCTGGTCTCTTTGTCAACGAGCTCCCAATCGTTTCGCCAACCCAACAACACAAGCGAAGCGACGACATCCAAACGAAACGTCTCCCATATACCCTCATACCTCCGCAATGGCCGCCCCGAAAGAGCTGTTCTCCGCCGATCTCCTCTCCCCCGAGGTGCAATCAGCCCTCCCCGAGGGCTACAAGTTGCGCGCGCTTCGCCCAACTGACTATGACACTGGCTTCCTCGACTGCCTCCGCGTCCTGACCACGGTAGGCGACATTACCAAGGAGCAGTTCCAGGACCGTTACAACTGGATCTCGCGACAGGACGGTGGCTACTTCATTCTCGTCATTGAGGACACCAACAGCAGCCCACCCAGAGTGGTCGGCACCGGCGCCGTGTTGGTTGAGCGCAAGTTGTAAGTTGGCCTTGTCTTTGGACTTTTCTGCCTGCCAAAACAATGGGCGGCGCATCACCCATCCATCCCATCTCCCTTTGACTGACATGTCTTTCCCTTTTCCCCCTTCGAAAAAAAACAGCATCCACAATCTCGGGTCAGTCGGACACATCGAGGACATCGCAATCGCCAAGGACCAGCAGGGCAAGAAGCTGGGTCTCCGTATGATCCAGGCGCTGGACTTTATCGCCGAGAGGACGGGCTGCTACAAGACCATTCTCGACTGCAGCGAAGCCAACGAGGGCTTCTACGTCAAGTGCGGCTTCAAGAGGGCGGGTCTGGAAATGGCACATTACTATCAGAACACAAAGAGCAAAGCTTAGAATGCTGTTAAATTCTACAATAATCATGTTCTTTGCTTTTCTCGACTCGGTATGGAATGGAAATGCTGACTGACCTCTTTGGCTGCATCGGATGCGGCTTGGAGGGTGATTCGTGCGTGGCCGCCGTCTGTGTCGGAGCTTCTTTCAGCTGTACTCGGATCCGGCACAAACGATGCTGATTGATGACGCTACCCGAGACATGATTGAATCATGGCCATCGTAATCTTGATGATGACATACAACGAAGTAGGTAGTAGCTCTGGGGATCGCGAAGGGAACCGCATCACGTCTACGTAACCTCCAGTGGCCCTCCTTTACGTAGGTGGTACCTTTGGTATACGGCGTACAGCGATGGATGAAGTTGGGGCATTCCGTCCGTTGGCCATGGTGGCAGCAGTTGAACAGTTAATCGAGCATCCGTCGATCGGACATATCAGCGGCAGTTAACAGTTTCCAGATATCGCGACTTGCAAACAACAGTAATAAGCCCCTCTGCATTCCCTCTTGGGATTGGATATTTAAATCCCCCTTTTATTGTCCCTTCATTTCGCATGTGACCCTGGTTTGCAGGCGGTGTTCCTGGATTCCCGGTCCCAAAAGACGGCTTTATCCAGGGCTGCCAGGGAATGTGATCCGGCTGGTCAGTGCACCAACCAAGCTTGCATAGACTGGGTCAGCAGACCAGGATCGAGTGGAGGCACCGCTTCCAGTGGACCATCGAGGGACTTTTCGCCCTTCCACTGGACGTTCTGTGTTCCAAGCATGTCTTGGCAAATACCCCTTGATTCGGCATCTGACATGTGATTCTCGGAACCGACCACGTCAGGACCGGACACACGCCAATCACCAGTGGTGTAGTGGCTGCTAATAAACTCGAGACCGAATATTGGATCTTGAATGTCTCTTCTCCATCATTGCCCCCAAAACAGGCTTGTCAAAATCCACTCGCTTCTCTCCGCGCTAGAAGCCTCGATTTTGGAGGGCCATCAGACAAGAATCACTGCCATCTGGCTGCTCTGCAAGTCGGCTGCTGTGCGATGCTCGCTCAGATTTTCATCATCTTACATCTCTCTGAGCCCGGGAAACGACAACAACAATAACAACAACAACAACATGTCGGCTATGTCAGCTGCTGTGCCTCAACTGAGGCATTACAAGGCTTACCACATAGCGAGATGGTGTGTGCATTGTTTCGGCGTCCGGGAGACGCCTGCTTTTGTTTGCTGATGGATCTATCCGGGCCCTGTACCAGGAAGGGGAAAACGGGATCTCCCCGATGGACCATCTCATTAGACTAGGGATGTCCCATTCAGCATTGTAGGGTATGTAGTGTACATACACCAATGTACCCCACGAGGGAGGGAGACACACGTCCACCACGGGACCACCTCCCTGCTTTGGCTGTCATGGGTGAGCCGATCCCGTCACCGTCTTTGGTAATATGTCGAGCCATTCTAGTGTCTCGTTTCTTTTTCCCCACACCGGGCTTCCAGAATCCGGTATAATAACTCTGGCCCCCTCAAGTGTCTGGTCGGCTGACTAGACCTTCTTTTGTTTCTGAATCTTCTTCCATCTCATAATCCTTCGTACAAACTCGAAAAGCATAGCCCAAGTAACGGTCATATACCATTCACCAATCCTCGTTCCATCCGAACTCATACATACCCGGCCGGCATTTGACACCTGCCAGCACATTTGTCACGTCTGTATAAAGCACATCGGATATCCCCAACTGTCCGCCCACACGCCCACACGCAGCAACTGCAAGCGGGTGTCTCAACCTTGGTCGAAGCGACAGCATCATCCATACTTATAAAAGAAGCACATTCCGTCAGTCAAAATGGGCGAAGATCTTCACGCATCCATCACTCGTGTGCGCCTTGCTCTTCTTCAATCTCAGTTAGTTTAACTCATCCACCATCTAACGACCCTCTTGTGTTCCTCTCATCTTACACCAAATCACTTAGGGTCCGCGAGCACCCTGGCACTTCGCCCGTTCGCCGCCGCAGAAGAAGCATCTCGACGGCTGTGGCATACGCCGGATCCAAGGACGGAGTTCCTCTTTTCGCCAAGCAGAGGGTCGTTCGCGTTGCTCTCTGAGGAAGGCTTCATTTCTTTGATCATCTCATCTCTCGGCACTACTTTCTCTTTTCTTACAGCCTCTGTGGCCTTGGATTACTACTCTTTATTGGTCTGGCTCATATAATTGGTCCTCATCCACCATGTCTCCTCATCAGGTCAACAATGATCAGCAGCAGGAGCAAAAGCAGGGTTCTTCGGCGGGAGGCGGCGGGATTTCATTCAAGGCTCCGCCTGGTTCTGGTGGGTTGGGCGAATTAGGCAAAAGTCCCAAGCACTGGCTCATGGGCGACGAGGCGTTTGAGGCGAGAATGCCTCATCATGATGGAGTACAGGCACTGTGGGAGACCAAGTGGAAATTCCCAGTAAGTTTCCTCTGTGCCATCGATTTTTGGCTTTCGTCATTTTTGTTTTCCCTGTTTTACTACTCAAGTTTTTTTTCTGGCTTCACGGGAGCAAAAAGGGATCATCATAGCAAGGGAGAAGGGTTGGGGGGAAACAAAACAGTACCATCATCACCTCGAGTCAATTCAATCCGGGTTTCATCCATCACATTAACTGCTTGTTTTGTCCATATCGCACCGCACGAGCGGCACCACGATGATTTGGCCCTTTGCATTTCTTTGTCATTTCCCAAGCGAGCGACGCAGCCAAGCAACCTTTCCAACCCAGGCAAATACAATGTTAAACTCACTCACCTTCCAACTAGTGCTCCAAATCTCTCTACCCCTTCCACGACGGTCTCTATGCCGACTTTGCTCCCTCCTTCGACGCCCTCATCAAGACTAACCACAACGACATGACCTCCCCCGCCTGGACCACTACCTTTCTCTCCACGGGCGTAGCCGAGCAGCTCGTCGAGCAGGGTGACAAACTCGTGGCTGAGCTCAATAACATTAAACCCCCGGGACGTCTCCAGCCAGAGCAGCAGCAGCAGCAGCAGAGACGCAGACAACTCCGCGAGCAAGCCTCCTCGCTCTACCTCCGGGCCTGCTGCCTTTACCGCATCGCCCGCTTCCCCTACATCACTTCCATCCCCAAGGTGAACGACCAGACCAAGTGGGATGCGTGGGAGAAGCAGAAGGAGATATATCTAAAGGCGGGCAAACTGTGGGAGGAAAGCCCCGTGGAGGAAGTCAAAGTGGCCTTTCTCGACAACAGACAGATGCAACAAGGCGAAGGGCAATGGATCCCTGTTTACGTTAGGGTCCCTCCTGCTGGTACTTCCTCCCAGCCCTCTACTGGTAGTGGTGGCTACCCAACCGTCATCCTCATGACCGGCTTAGACGGGTACCGTCCGGACAACACCGTCCGCTGCAACGAGTTTCTCGCCCGCGGATGGGCGGTGGTGGTGGTGGAGATCCCGGGAACGGCGGATTGTCCTGCTGACCCGGCGGACCCGGAGAGCCCTGATAGGCTGTGGGAGAGCTTGTTGCAGTGGATGGGCACCTACCAATATCGCGGAAAGAGGGCGTTTGATATGAAGAGGGTCATGGTCTGGGGGTTGAGCGCTGGTGGGTATTATGCGGTGAGGATTGCGCACACGCATAGTCATAGACTGGCGGGTGTGGTGGCGCAGGGGGCGGGGGTTCATTACTTTTACGATAAGAAGTGGATGGAGAAGGTGGATGGGCATGAGTATCCTGCTCAGTAAGTCTTTCTTTTTCCCTTTCCCAGAATGGAATCAATGGGCGATGGCTAATAAAGCGTGTGCGTATGACAGACTGATGCCTGCTTTTGCTTTGAAGCATGGGTACAGCTCCGTTGAGGAGTTCAAGGCTGGAGTGCAGAAGAAGTTCTCTTTGTTGGAGAATGGGATTCTGGATAGAACTTCGACAAGGCTTTTGTTGATCAATGTAAGTTTTCCATTCTTCCACGGTCCTTCTCTATGAAACATGTTTAGGCTCGGGATACTGACGGCTACAATGTAGGGTACCCAAGACGGTTTGATGCCCATTGAAGATTCGATGATGCTGCTTGAATACGGCTCGCCCAAGGAGGCTCGCTTTTTCACTGGTGCTTTGCACATGGGATATCCCCTGGCAAACTCGGCTGTCTACCCTTGGATGGAAAGTGTCATGGCTTCCATCAGAGAGTAGTCTCTGCTGCAAGAACGACAGTTTAGCTGTGACGGTATACACCCCCTCGGAATGTGTCAGAAAGGAATATCAATGAGGTCGAGTGTTTTGATCTTGCAAGCAAACCGAACAACGCAACACTTTAATTAGTCGTTTTCAAGAAGGCAACGAATATCATCATGCTATTTTCCAATCCGTCCGTCCCATCATTATTGTTTACAGTCTCTTCTCAATTACCGTCCCATCCACCCACCATCAACAACCAGCACATGTCCGCTCACGTAACCACTCGCCTTGCTGGCCAGATACACAACCGTCCCCTTGAAATCTTCCGGACTTCCCCACTACAATACCAGGTCGGCCAGAGCCATCACGTTAGCCACGAAAGTCTGCAAATTGACAAACAGGAAGACCAAGAATAAAAAAACCGAATGACTTACCCTCCCAGCCGGAATCCTCGCACTAATACTCTTCAACCTCTCCTCATCTTTCAACAACGCCTCATTCATCTCCGTCTCGATATACCCCGGCGCAATCGCATTCACCGTCACGCCTTTACTCGTCCACTCATTCGCAAAGCTCTTGGTCAGTTGCCCCACGGCCCCCTTACTCGCCGCATACGCCGGCACCGTTAACCCCCCTTGGAACGTCAACAAGCTGGCAAAGTTGATCACGGACCCCTTGCGTCCGGTGACGGGGTGGGGGTCAAGACCCAACATGTGCGCGCCCACGTCCCGACATAGTGTGAAGACGGCGTTGAGGTTGACTTGCATCACTTCGGCAAAGTCGGAGTCGGGAAACAGGTGGGAAGGGTGTCGACGTTGAATGCCGGCGCAGTTGATCAGGATGCGGATGGTGTGTCCGTCGGAGAGGATGCGTGGCACTAAAGAAGAGACGTCGGTGGGGGAGGAGAGGTCGGCTTTGTAGATTTGCGCGTGGCGGCCAAGGGATTGGATGGCTTGGAGGGTGGTGGTGGAGGTTTCGTCGCGCTGTGAGGGGTGGTTGTTTTTAGACCGGGTTTTTCTTTTGGAACCAATAGGTACCGTTGTTGAGGGAGCTAGAAGGCGATGGATAGACAGACCTGGACGAGAAGAATATCGGCGCCGGCCTCGGCAAGGGCAATGGCCACGGCTTGACCAATGCCTCGCGTGGCTCCGGTGATGAGGGCAGTGTGGCCCTCGAGGGAGAACATGTTCTGGACGCTAGTGGTTGATGGCATGTTGTTTGGTTGTTGTGAAAGGGATGGAAGGTCAGTCCATGGGAGTGATTCAAGCCTGAATCTGAGGATATCTGGTGAAGTTATACAAAGTCAATTGAGCTTTGTGGACGTTGATGGCCCATAATTCGGTAGTAGTGTCATGGTAAGTAGGTACGTACTAATTTGTTCCCACCCTCCCACGTCCCACGCCTAGATTCGGTTGTCCCCCACGTAAAGCAGCCCATCATCCCACGCTCACTCTTTTGGAGTTTCGCTTAAATCCTTATTCTTCAACCCTTCCCTGCTTTGGGCTAGCCCTGATTGGGATGGACGAACTCCCTGATCAGCTCGACGAGAAGAAGAAAAAGAAACATCCATGATCTTTCAACATCCAATCCATGATTTCTCGGTTGATTCCATGTGGATGCTCCCTTGAAGACGAACAAGTGGAGATCGCCCTCCTCGCTAACACAAGAGCACGAACGGGAAGTGCGGGGAAATTCCTCCTCTCTTGCCCTCTTCCCCACATTTCCCCGCTTTCCCCACGGAGTACAACCAGGTGGTCTGGTCTGGTTGTTACCGTCGAGACAATATATTGACGACACTTGCAGTTATTCGCTAAAAGTAAGGCCGATGTCCGGAGCACGGCAGCCGAGTCATACGAGGTTCTCACGTCTGGTGATCTTTTTGTTTTTCGTAATTGGTTTTGGTGTCATTTAGAATACTTGAATGGGTGAGCAACCTGCGGTGTGATGGGACTATTTTGGTAAGTTTCGTTTCGTCGGATTGACTGACCATCGAACGTGAAACCAAGAGACGTGCTATGGACATGGCCTCTTTTTGTCCATCAGGTTCAGTTTCCCCCGGGCTTACTTCACTCCACCAATGTTGCATGGCCGAGTGGATAGCCGCAGCTAGTTGAAGTGTTCGGGCTAGGAGCTATGGGGTAGGTATCAAATCGAGGTTGAACTAGGGTTCTATAAAAAGTTACATCTACCAAGTCTGGTGTACATTGTTTCTCTCTATGCTTGATCAATATCGGCCTCACTGTGTAAACAAACACCAACCCCAGAGACCACCACTGCAACGACCATCCGTACCTCTATACATCGTCACTCAGTATCGTCTGTGTACGAGGATTCACCTTAGGTCATTGTCCTCACATCGTCCAAGCAAACAAAATGGCAACAGCAGTCAAAGCCTCCGTCCTCCACGGTGCCCGCAATCTCCGCGTGGTAAGCGAGACACTCTCCTTCCCCCATCTTCCCCTCCCCCCATACGCAACACCTTCCAAAGACATTACCAAACCCAAAGTTGAACCCAAAAAACTAACACCTCCACTTCCAAAACAGGAATCCCGCCCCCTTCCCACCCTCTCGCCAACCGACGTCCTAATCTCCATCAAGTCCACCGGCCTCTGCGGCTCCGACCTGCACTACTACACGCACTTCCGCAACGGGGACATCCAAGTCCACGAGCCTTTAACCCTCGGTCACGAGTCCTCGGGCATCATCACGGCCATCGGCAGCCCCTCCGTCTCCTCCGATTATGGCCTGAATGTAGGCGACCGCGTCGCGCTGGAGGTGGGACAGCCGTGCGAGGCTTGTGAACTTTGTTGCCCCCCAGATGATGCCGGTCCTCCTGGAAACTATTCGGGGGAAAAAGGGGGGGAAAGCGGCGGGAAGGGTGGAGAGAGTACTACTACCTCTAGATACAACATCTGCCGCGCCATGCGCTTCCGCTCTTCAGCCAAGGGATGGCCGCAATTTCCCCACGCTCAGGGAACCCTGCAGGAGGTTGTTGCCCATCCGGCAAAGTGGTGCCACAAGTTGCCGGAGAGTGTGGATTACACGCTGGGAGCGCTGGCGGAGCCGTTGGCTGTTGCTATGCATGCGGCTGGGAGGGCTGGAATTCCCTCTCCATCCATGTCTTCGTCTCGGGGGGCGGCCAGGGTAAAAATTCTGGTATTCGGTGCCGGTGCCGTCGGGCTGCTCTGTGCTGCAGTTTGCAAGTCCATCACCAAGGGGGATGCGATAGTGATGATTGCGGATATCCAAGCTGATAGGGTGAAGTTTGCGGTGGAGAATGGGTTCGCTGATGCGGCGGTTGTAGTGCCGCTTCCTGACAAGCGGCCGGAGACGATAGAGGAGAAGCTGGAGTATGCGAAGAGTGTGGCCGAAAGGGTTAAGGGGGCTGAGCTGTTGAAGGGACTGGGAGGACAGGTGGGTGAGGTTAATGTTACTTTTGAGTGTACGGGGGTGGAGAGTTGTTTGCAGAGTTCGATATATGTGAGTACCGACATTTCCAACGTCTTTCCTACCAATAACTTCATTTGCACCATATTGGAATGGACCGCTGATTTGATGGAGTTATAGGTGACGGCGCCGGGTGGTAAGATCATGATCATTGGCATGGGTAATCCCATCCAGACGCTACCCATCTCTGCCGCTTCACTGAAGGAGGTTGACCTCCTTGGCGTGTTTCGGTACGCAAATGCCTATCCAAAGGTGATTGAGCTGTTGGCTAGTGGGGATCCGCATCTCCCTGACCTTTCTAAGCTGGTGACGCAGCGGTATAGTGGTTTGGAAAGTATTCCCATGGCATTCGACATGGCGGCTAGGGTGAAGGACAATGAGGGGAAGTTGGTGTTGAAGGTTATGGTTGATATGTAGAATGTCGATGCAGTTGAAATGCTGTAGGAAAGGAGAAATATGGTTAGATGAAAAGCACAAAGACACGATCAAAGAGATCAGTCGAGGTTATGGTTCGCAGAGACGTATTTAACCTATTAGACATTGTAGACATGGCCAGTAGCATAAGAAATGCGTCTTTATGTCCATCACATGTTATTCTTAAAAGGTTTATTCACTCTAGTTAAGATATTACCTCACCAACCGGTACCTGGAACAATCTACGACTTATCGGGGAACCCAAAATCCACGCCAAACGGCGGATACACATAGCGCTGCACCTTACCCTCCTTAACCAACCCCTCCGAATAATCATTCAGTAGCTTCTGATCCTCAGCATCCAACTCGATCAGCTTGGCGTTAGTCTCGATACGCTCCGGGTTTGTTGACTTGGGCAGAACGGTGCTTCCACGGTAAACTGTGGATTTGTTGTAAGTCTGTCAGCACTTCTGTTCCCTTTGTGTGTAGTTTCCCGAGCAACGTCACTTTCTCGGAACCCTCGATAATGACAGGGAATAAACCTACGGTGATAACTCAACAACACAGTGGTAGGCTTGACCCCATGCTTCTCAGCAATCTTAATCACCGGCTCGGCACTGGTCACGGGGCTACCGGTGCTGCCGAAGGGCGAGTACGCCATGATGTGAATGCCCTTCTCTTTGCAAAAGTCGACAATTTCTTGCTGAGGCAGTTGCGGGTGGTTCTCAATTTGGTTGACGGCCGGAACGATCTTGGCGTGGGGGAGGAGCTCTTCGAGGTAGCGCTTGCTATACTGTTTGTTTGGGAAGGGGCTTAGGTTAACGGCCGCCATCATGAAGTTAGAGGTAACGAAGAAGGGACGGGATGGCTAAGGCTGGGTAGGGTGGGGTAGGAGGGTCATTAGAAAAAAGGCATACGTTGGAAACACCAATAGCCTTGGTCTTGCCGGACCCTACCAGCTTCTCCATGTTCTTCCAGATCTGGACGTGGCTGTAGTCGCGGAGAATGTCACGCTCGCCGTTGGGAAGCTTGGGGAATCTGTCATCGTTGCCTATGTGTCGTATTCGGTTCATCAGTCCACTAAGCGGCGACCTTTTTTCCTTTTCTTCTTCTTTTTTTTTTTTTCTTTTCTCTCTTCTTCTTTTTCGTATGCCAACTCAACGAACTTACCTTCAGGATTCATCAAAAGCGGCCAATGCTGTCATAACCCAAATCACAATGCGTTAGCACCTTCCTCAACACATTTCTCATCCAATTCCACCCCCACCTTTACACAACCCCCTAAAGCCCCCCCCCCCCCCCAAAAAAAAAAAGCAAAGCAACTCACACCGGCGAGAGGGAAAAAGACTGAGGCAACATACCACCAAAAACAAATCAACATACTCCAAACCCAAATTCCTCAAACTCTTTTCTAGCCCCTCCTGCGCACGGCTCGTGTACGTCGCCCATAGCTTGGTCACGACAAACACATCCTCACGCTTGACGATACCCTGGTCAAACGCCTCTTTCAAGCCGGCGCCGACATGCTCCTCGTTGCCGTAGCAGTAAGCCGTGTCGATGAGGCGGTATCCGGCTTTTAGGGCGGCGACGACGGCGTCTTTTACCAGGGTGGATTCGCCTTGCCAGGTGCCTGTTGAAGGAGGGTGAGGGGATGGGTTAGCTGCGTGCGAGGGGTGGAAGGGGGGGGTTTTGTGTGTTTAAGGGGGGAAGGGGACCTGAACGGGTGACAATGGTGAACAAACGGGAAACTTACCAAGTCCCAGCGCGGGAATGGTAGCTCCGGTGTTGAGCTTGAAGGTTTTGGTGGCCATGATGGTTTTTGGGTGCTGGTGCTGGTGGTGAGGTATCTGGTTTTGTTTCCAACTTCGAAAGAGTCTGGTGTTGCTGCTGCTGGCAAGCTTCAATGAAGGAGTACGGAGAGTGAACAAGACAAGAAACGGCTACTTTTACACAGAAAACCCAGTTTTTGGGTTTGACTAGAAGTTATGATGCCAACCAAGATTGAGAGTGGAATGGAAAGGCAGAGGAGGATTGACCAGTTATATCAAGTTACGTTCGAGGAGAAGGTTGTCCAGGGTTGGAGAACCGCACTGGACATTCGGCCAAATGGCAATCGGCGTTGGAGCGTGGGGGGTAGTAATGGTGTTATCGATTCCGAGCAAGCTACATGTTTATAATGATTCTGTTTTTTCATGTTATCCGTACCTGACTAGGTAATCATGAGACCGAAAATTTCGGTTGTAATTATTCATTGACAAGCGTGGATGGGGGTAACAACATCGACACGCCATTGTGTAACTCGAACATCGTGAACTTGGGTTTGAGGCGTCCAGAAACCCGGCACTCGGGGCTGCTGTTCTTTTCGTGTTTAGTCAGTACACGATGGCATTCGGCGTTTCGTCAAGATATCAGACAGTACTTCGAAGGTGGGATATCGACAACCTCGCCAATGAAAGCCCCAGCAACAAACATCCTCTCACCTTACCCCGCGAAACTTGGCTGAATCTAACAAGGGCCTCGGCGGAACGATTGCCCCTCTATCGGAATGAGACCTTGCTGTGGTGTCGGTCCGTTCTACACTTAGATAGTGGTAACAGTGAGTGGATCGTGTTCCCTTGTCTCTGGGTTTCTTCCTGGGGCTCGAGCGGAAAGCATTAGTTCCAGGTACCGAAGCTGAGTGGAACGGAAATGATTACAGTTGCAGGAACCGGGGGAGTGGAGTGCTTAGTCTAAATCGATTCCCTTTATTGGTGGCATTTAGCGTAAGCGAGTTCCGTCGGTTAAACATTTGTTGACCATAGATGAACCGAGAGCGAACCTTGAGTCTTGATCCCTATGCTGAAGTCCAACTTCCTCGGCAAGTAGGTATAAACAATCAAATGCTCCCACCGACCATCCAGAGGTATACTTGAGGCCTCTATCAGCCTTGCAAGAGGTTATGTTGTGAAACAGTAAACGGACATGGAAGAGCGCATGCAAAAAAGAACCGCGACTTCATGAGGAAGAGAAAATGTATAATTAATGCATAAAGTCTACAAGAGACGCCTCTGCATGCATTATAAAGAAGAAGTATAATATTACTGAAACGCCGCCAAAACTGCCGTCTACCCGGCAATTAATACCCAGAGAAGGAAGAAAATCATCTACGAAGTCGCACAGCGTTAGAGTTTTATGCAGGGCATAGGTAACAGAGCAGGGATATTGGGCTTACCAAAACACCAAACATCTTGGCTAAGAGCCATCTATTACTTGAAACACGGCTCCAATATTTGAGCAGTTCTTTTTGCGCGCCTTCGACGTTCTCTACCACGTCCTCTCTGCATGGTGTGTTAGTACAGTGCTGGTGTGTCGAGCGTCTCGAGACAAACTTACGTGTTGGCATCAATTCTTTGTATCATCTCAGATTGTTCGCTGACCATGGCCGCGAGCTGCCCAAAAATGGAACCCAGCTCATTGATAGTCGACTCAATAGCCTCGATCGCTTGCCCTCGTTGTTGGACGTAGGTGTTTTGGCCTTCCTCCAACATCTGGAGCTGCATCTGCTGATCTCCCATCGGGTTCAGCGAGATCAGATCTTGCTGCCCTGGCGCTGGCGTTCCCCTACTAGGCGTGCCGTATAGAGGTGACGCAGATTGTTGCAAGGAAGCATGTGCGTGCTGACCTACTGACGAGACGAAGTTCTCAGTCCTCGACCTCGACGCCTGAATGTTCTTGGTTCTGATTTCGAGCACGTCCTTGAAATTAGCACCAACATCTCCCAGCTTGCCCTGTAGGAGCAGGAGAATGTTTTTGTTGTTCTCCCCTTCTTGGTCGGGCTTCGGGTGCAGACGTCTAGAGAGATCTTGCAGGTTCCTGATCTTCTCGTTCAACGAAGACAGGTCTTGCTTGATGACGAAGGTCAACTAACATGATGGTTAGCCAGCCAGATATGGAGTCGAGGCGCGCAAAGATCAAGCGCATGACCCAGCTTACCTCGTTGATTTCGACAGGCCTGTCATCGAAAAGAGTCTTCTTCTTGGCCAGCTGTGCTAGCTTTTCCAGCTTGGCCATTGTCGCAGAGATACCCCTTCCAATCTCTGCAGCCCCCCTCGCAAACTCAGACCTTCTGGGCTGGGCATCGCTGCTGGCAGCATGTTGTTGAGCGGTGTCCAGAAGTCGCTGCTTTCCCGGCTTTGTGGCCTGCCTACGCTGGGCAGCCGCAACAATCTGTCGGAACTCTTCCGTTCGGTCGTTGATGGCAAAGACAGCCATAATTAGAGGTGTATCGATATATGATGAGGCGGTAGTCCGTCCGTTTCCAACAGCAAATCGCGGGGAATGGGTCGTAGAGGGGCGCGTGTACCCCTGAGCAGCCGGCACGCGGTTAAGTCGTTATCAATAACACGTCGGAGTTCGTAAGTCAGGAATCGAAACGTCGTCAACTTTGTCAATCGCGACCGGGGGCGAATGCGACTCGTAGGCTGCAAGTTTGCGGAGGAGATTATGGATTGGCAAAGTGGAAATGGGCGGATCCGGGGGATGCGGCGGGAGCGAGGCTAATTCGCAACTGGCGAGGACGTCGGCGGCTCGTCGTGTGTGTTAATTGAAGGTCGTATGTTTGAAAGGCGCTACAAGATGTACTCGCAATGACGTATGAATGAGTGGCGGTGTTGTATGTTCGTCGTCGTGGTCGTGGTCGTCGCCGTCGTCGAGTCAAATGGTTGGTGTCGTGGTCGTCGAGGTTGAACAAAGCTCCTCCGTTGTTGTCATCAGCGACGGGAGTTCGATAAAGGGAAAACGTGGTTACTTTACTTACATAGTTTCAGGAGGGCCCGTGACGCTGCAGTGTGTGGCTCGGCCCCTGCAGTTGAGCAAGAAAAGCTCACAGTGCAGAAATCCAAAGCTGATTGACCAAGACACTGTTCTTAAGCATTCAGTTAAACTATTTGATTGGACATCAGCCCAGTCTTTTTAAAGAAGCAACATCCCGATCAACCTCGAAGTCGACGACACCTCGGCACTGCAATTCTTAGTTCTTTCACATTGTATTTTTTTGCCACTCTTTGGAATAGTATGGTTGCCCCCATACTCAAACCCAAAAGCCCAAGAATGGGAAAAGAATTCTTGGTTATCCGAGCTAGGTGTGAGATGTGACTAGAGGTAGGTATGTCATGTTTACATGATGGGGTCTGTCAAGACGCTTGAATGCCCCTGGCCTCTGGGTTACTGCATTTTTGACCCACTGCGGCCCATGGATTTGGGGTACATGAGTGAACGTCAGGCCGGGCGCTTGGAGCTGAGCGGTACCAAAACCCAAGGCCTGTCACTGCAGCGCCAGCAAGGGTGGAACGCCATTAGCATCGATCGAGGCGCAACCAAATTAAGAATCAAGTATGTAGATAAACACGGATGAAATCCAGGGTATCATTTCTAAAGCCTTTGTTACTTCCTTTGAACTAGGGCTTCACAAAATCAAACAACTTGCTGTACTCCTACTTCTTATTTAAATGGGATTTCCCCCCTGTCCTGGCGAGTGATGTGCTTTGCTGAGGTCTGCATGCCCTGTAGAAGCGTCGCCGTGAAGGTCCTCTCTCCAGATACCTATACTTGACTAAACAATTGAATGCAAATTATCGGTACTTGCCCCTTGTGTAGTGAGTTCGTAAACCCAAAAGAAGCTTCCCTTCGGCTTCACTTCACTTACCTCTACCCAAGAGGTCTACCTAGAGGTACGAATACTACCTTACATATCCTGAAAATGTAGAGCCACAGGTTTCTTTCTCTAACTGCATCCGCGGCCGAGTGCGGTGGCATTCAGTTAGTGCCTTACAGAGTGGAGAGTCTAATAGCCTGTCTCATTTAAGCTCGCCCCACGTCCGCCTGACGTTCCAATGCTGCCCTGGGCTGCTGATCCTAGCCGCGGTCCCGGACCATAATCTTCAACGAGAGGAAAGAGCAGGGGCATGAATGGATGCAGTGTCATCTGGTCAACTGCCAGCGCAAGTCCAACATTTCAGTTTCACGTCCCAATGTCCGTCTTCGCGATTTCAGTCTCCCTTCGAACTGAATCCTCCATCCTCGTATCCAACCGTTTCCCACCCTCGAACTTTCTTTTGCGACTCTTCAGTTCCGTCACACATTTACACATCCATTTCCCCCTCTAGTTACCAGTATATTGCGCTACTTTCAACTAATTAATCGGCCAGCCAACCGACCAGCCATTCACTACCACCAACCTAATCTTCGCCATTTGCCTTGCCTTTCTCTGCGTTCCTCCAGTCATCCTTTCACATCGGACAGACCGTAGACACTTTCGACGCCACGGATACACATCTTCGAACCTGCTTATCGAATTCTCAGAATCCGGCCCGCAATACATTACGGGATACGCCAGGCTGCAGAAGGCTACTTTTACCTGAGAATTGTCTGGCATCCGATTTCGGTTCTATTTTCATTCGACTCGACAGCGCTACTCTGTCGCCTGCTTGTACATATCGGCGCATGCCACAACGACGCTCATCGCCATAAAGACTAACGGCCAATGCCATGGACGGGACATACGGGAATATCTACCCGACAAACAATAACCCACTGTCAGTTGCCCTGCTTCTAGCCTCCCCCTTTCCGTAATGCCCGAGCAGGTCGCTTCTCAGCCCGCAGTCGCTAAAGGCCCGTCCGACACCACACACAGAAACCCCCGCGCTCCGGATTCGAACAACAAATACCAAATCAACGTCAACCGCTCAAAGACGAGAAAATGGGCCAACTTCAAGCCACAGAACTACGACGGCGATGATTGGGGAAGCGAGGAATATGACGATGTTGACTCGGAACGTCCACCAGCCCCTCCACAGCCCGCCAGGCAGTACCAGCCATATACACCAGCATTGCATCTACAAACTCAGCAAACGCCAGCTGCTCCCTCGGGCCGTATCGCTCAGATGGTAGCGGCCTCTTCCACGCCGACGACACCGAATGCCCTGGAACGATCAGGCACCTTTGGACAGCCTCAATCCGATGCGCCACGGACTAGTTCACCCGTCGTTGGAGGTAAACAGGTTCTTCCGTCTATGATGCGTGTAGCTACGATGCCCCAGAATGTTGGCCCGCCGGCCTCTACGCAATTCCCCCCTCGCAAGAGCAGTATGGGTCCTCGCGACATCCCAAACATGACTGACCCGACCCGCCAACCCAGGTCTACCACTTGGGCCGTCCCAACGCAAAGACCGTGGTCAGACGCTCGATCAGCTTCCCCCAACTTCAGCTCTCCGATATCGTCCAACAAACCGCTGCCCCTCCCCCGACCTACTGATGTATATCGACGGATGGGAGACGACAATAGCGCGGAGCTGCAATCTTCGAGACGAGGAAAACAGGGAGAGCCGGATAACGTGGCTCCCACTGCGGGCCTAAACCCGGGACTCGGTCGCCAGGAGCGTCGAGGTAGTGCTGCGGGGAATGAAGGTGGTGATAATTCGTGGGGCCGGAGGCCGAGTCTAGCTCCAGTGATGGAGCAAAATAGCGAGCACGGGGCCGAAGGACCGCTCGCCGGACCTACGTCGAGTGACTTTGGTGTCAAACCTGCCGCTTTTGGGGAAGAGGAGGACAAGCTACGGCGGTTCTCAACAAGTCCCACACTGCCAAATCTTACGCGCTTGTCAGGGTTCGGAGAAGATCTATTTTCTGCTCGGTTTTCAGTTTTGGCGCCTCAACTGGCTTCCATCCCAGACATATCGAACCCTTCCAGTCCAGCAAAGTCTCTTGAACCAGAAGGGATCTCCGGAGATGAACGTACCGAAAAGGGTGGTAACTCAGAAAACGGTATCGTTACACCAGCAAATCCCATTGTGGCGCCTATCTCGCTGCCAGTCGCCGAACCTATGTCTGCCGCACAAGCGCCATCACCTTCGATGGGGGGTGCCGCGGTGTCTGACGCAACACCGCAGTTGGCACAGAAAGCAATTCGCTCTGGATCACCGCCTAACGAGTCTGTTGGGCTGCGGTACAGCCACGACGATGCTAATCAATCCCATGCAGTTGTCAACGCTCCTCAACAACTGCCATCTACAATGAAAACTCCACAGGAAAAAAATATATCTGAAATGGACAAACAACCTGTCCGCCCGCGCCTGCCAGGTGGCTGGGTAACCGAAACATTATCCACGCCGAGCGAAACCCCCCCGCTGGCTCGTAACGATACTTTTTCGAGCATGACGAGCAACTTCCCCCAGCCTCCAAGTGCGTCACTCGTCGCCAGATCCCATGCTGATGCTGAACGTGCGTCAACTGGCGATCAATCTCAGCAGCACGACTCAAGCGGAACGAGTGAAGCAGTTATCGAATCCTTTCATTCGACATCTGACGGGGAAGCTGCTCAGACAACACCCCCCTCAGTTAAAGACATCCACGCAAGTCTTGCACCGACAATGGAACCTTCAAAACACCGGGACATCACTCCGACTGCACCATTGAACTTTAATCGTGGTTTGCTAGGGATTAACTCTGCCGAGCCATTGCACGTGCTACCTTCGCCAAATATGGGTGGTGGCTCGACCTTGACTACGCCCGGCGACTCCCCAGTCAAGGAAAGTGATCTGCTTAGGGATGAGATAACCAAATTTTTAGGTGACCCCGAGATATCTGGCAGCTTTCTGGATATCAGTCGGTCATCGACAACACCAAACCATCCAGTTGCAGATGCTACCCGAGAGAGCAGCTATTTCGGAGATGTCTACGATGACTATTTTGCTGCGAGCGAGGACAACCAAAGTCAAACCAAACCGGGGGCTACCACGCAACCGTCTGCAACAGAAAAACCTACACTCGTGGCGGCTGGCACGTCAAAGGGTGGTGTTGTAGCGCCTCTCTCTGTCGCTACCTCTACAAGTTCTGGATCTGGTGCCGCTGCTTCGGTCTCCAGGCAAGATGCAACTAAGGAATCGGTTGGGGCCATTGAGTTGCGGCGTCGTTTTTCCTGGGAAAGACCCTCCGAGCAGGATTCCTCAAACGCTCCTGAAGTGGATACTACCTACCAGGTAGAGCAAAAGTCCCGGAGCTCTGGCCCTGATGGTGTTTCCTTCACTCCGACAACGCCGGCTGCGGAAAAGATTGGGGAGACAATGGCGCTCACGCGGTCGAATACCAACGAACTCCTTTCTATTTCAACGGAAACTGCAAGTAAGCCGGGGACGCCCAATGCCGTAACAGAAGGCAATATGCTTCCATCACGGTCAATGGTGGACCTGGCTTCTCCCATGTCTGCTGGCTCAGATGAGGATTCTGAATCCCGCCGTCGAGCCTTGTCCATGGGTCAAGATAAGATTCTTGCTCAACCTTCAGAGCACCATTCGGCCTTTGAGGACAATACTTCCAGCCGCTCCGGCTCATTGGAGCCCAAAAGCCCGGTCAATATCTTATCGTTTCGGCAAATTATGGATATGCCTTCATCATCGGATCGACTCAAACACTATAACGAAACTCGACTGCAGTTTGCCGTTATTGATACGGGATTGGATGAGTGGCTCATGGCTATGAGATCCAAATATCCCGAACACTCGAACGCTACGTCCTCGTTCAAAGACTCATTGGCAATCCCTGTTACGTCAATGGATGTGCAGCAAAGCGGAGATGCTGTGGCACTCAGTCCGGGTTATTCTCAGCAAGGCGGACGGCCAGGAACTAATATGCCAATGCCGCCATCCTTGCCTTATGGGCACTCGGGTTTTGCACATTCAAGCCAGCAGGTTGGGACTAAAGGCAAAGAACTCCTTTTCGCAGCTGGTAAGGCTGGAAAGGGTCTGCTCAGCAAAGGAAAGAGCAAGTTGAGGGGAACTAGCGATAAGGTATTTTTCTAGGTGTCCGTCTCATCATCGTCGGCACGTGGCTCTGCTTCGATTTGGTCTGGATATGGCTTTTAGCATCACCGGGACTGTTCACCGATTGAATGAACTCTTTTGGGTATGGCCTACTGGGTTGTGAATTTTGACAGAGTTCGCAATGTTGGCCGCAGACGTTTTCATACATCTGACAGCAATGTAATATCATATTGAGGCGGTTTGATATGTAACGTGGAGCTCCATGGAGATGTTGAGGCTCTTTATTCACAACACGGTTTGCGTGTGAAAAGAGAACGTATTGGGAGAAAGCTTTTGTGGGCCCGTTGAGAAATTGATGTCAAAGAGGGTCACAAATTACAAAGGATTATAGTGGAAAATCTTGGGTGAGCCACTACATGCCTCGTATTCCACAATGTCACAGTCGATCTTTAGCAGCCCCAGCCGTCGACTTCGGTTCCCCTTCCGTTCTTCCAAGTCGTCGGTGGGAAACGATGAACAACATCAGTGGCGTGCCATATTCCAGTTGCACAATGACATCCATCGTCTACAGAATCGAATTCTTCAGATTCCAGAGATCTGCTTGGCGGCGGCACTGTCTCTTGCCGCCCGCCATTGTTGGCTGCCGTTTGCTCCTTCACACTGTTGATCTGTAGGGCCGAGACTGACAGATTTCCCGTAGCCCAGCATGGCGGCCCAGCGTTGTGTTCCCCCAGCTTCCCTAGACCACGTTCCTATCAGAATGTCCATTGAGTACAACGGTGCGTTCCAGCTCGTGCAGGGCACTTCGATTGTCACACACTGGCCTGCCCACTTCGGCTATGACCCATGACCCGCTTTGCTTGCCCTCTTCTGAAGCTGTCATCAGCTCGCTAACTGACTACAATGTTTACTTAGAACGCCCGATTCTTACCACGTCAAATTGTAGCGGATGTTGTATTATCACCAGAGTTGCGAGGCCATGGAGTTGTTCAAATATATTGGAAAGAAGTCATAGCGGAAGGTGACTGTGGAAGGCCATGGGAGTCTCACCCGCCATGAATTTATCGCTGGACCGAAGGGATGGATCGCCCATCTCAGCCCAGCAAGCCCAGAGAATCTTTCAGGCCCCTGTCGACGACCCTAACAGGCCCTGCACGGCGTGTTGGGTGCTTCGGTTCCTGGACCCCTGCCGGAAAGAGACGCTGGAGTGGACTTTGACCAGGATGTCCGGCTCCCGCAATTTCAGCACCTGCAGCAGTGTCCCCAGAAAGGGAATCTTCAGGCCGACGCCAGGTTTGCTTCGAAGGTTGTCTCTCACCTTTTCAGCATCAGCAGTTCCTGACCTTGACGCGCAATCATCTCTTTATTTCTACGTCCATCTCTCACTTTGCTGGTACCTACCAAAGACACATCTCGGCAAAACAAGCTCAACTCCAAAGACGAGGGCCTTGACGGATTCCAAAGGTCTATTGCTTGTCGACATCACAGCTAACCTGAGCCGGGTCGCTTGTATCGGAAACTCTCTCTAGGCCAACATACAACCACACCATAGAGGTATGAGTCGGAGCTCAGCAACAGCATTGACACCAGATCAACCGACAACCAAGACGCTCCGTCTTATTCTTTCACCAAAGACTTAGCACAAATTCAAAGCTCGGATTGGCCATCTAAGACAAAGCTATTCCCCGCGCGAGTACAGCTCCACCAAAATCATCATCTCCAGGCCCAAGCTCCTCGGTTGCTGTTGCCGTTGACCAGGAACGGATCGAGAGGGGGAACCGCGTGCCGGGGGGAACAACGTCCAAAAAAGTGATTGCGGGAGAAGACGTGGATGGAAAGACTGGTGATAGTCTGAACATTGAGAAGCAAGGCGATAGTGACAGTGACACGTCCTGCGTTGTCGTCTCACAGCGATCTCTTACTCGGATTCCACCGCTGTTTGTGCTCGTCCATGGCTTGGAGAGCTTTGCTGACTCTGTACTGACCAAGAAGTCACTTTGTCATCACCACCTTCAGGCGCCAGGTCGTCGGCCTCACCTCTCACATGGAAGCTCACGCGCAAGCCGCGCACAACGGCCAATACTATTCGCAATCGGCTGGAACCGAACCGCAACAGGTCTACTCCCACCCACACCAACCGCAATATCAGCAGCACCAGCACCAGCAACAGAGCCACGCCCCGCAGTCGCATTTCCAGTCGCAGCCACAGCCTGATGGTGCCAATGCGCCGATTAGACATCCGTCGTTTATAGGATTGCCTCCAATTTCTCGCACATCCACCTTTTCATCTCTACTGGGACCCTTTCAAGTCGAAGGTTCTGCCGGCGACAATAATAGCACGTACAGTGACACCGACACTACCCCGCGAAACTTAATCCACTATCAACAAGGGCAACAAGGTGGACAACAAACCATTGTGACGACCCCGCAAACTATGTCTGAAAGCAGATCCATGGCTGCGAACCAGACTGGCGATGGTGTACCACCGCATGGCCAGGTTATGCCCCAAACACCTCCACCAGGGCAGATCATCCCAAATATGTATCGCCCAGCTCAAGGTCCGGCACAAGGTCAAATGCAAATCCAAGGACAACCATCGCCCAATGGTTTTCCATCACCTCTTGGTGCTGGATCCGTGCCTGGTCAATCGCCGGTCCAGGCCCAGTCAGGTGAACCCGGTCCACCAGGCAACGCCCAGGGGCAATCCGCATCGGCCCTGGCGGGAGCACCCGGGGCTCCCCTCTCTGTCATGAACGGTGGAACTCCGCCTGCGGCTCCACAGTTTACGCCAGCCAACGGCCGGCCCGTCATGATGCCTCCTCCGCACTTGGCAGGACGGTTTCCGCAAGGAAACTGGAACTTGCAGGAGTCTCATCTGTCGGAGCCACTACAGCCTACGAATCGGAACCGTCACTCGTCTAGCAATGCATCACAGCAACCCTTCTACGGTTTCGACAAGGAAACGGGCGTTCCGGCATCGCCACGGAGCCAGAGGGCGCCAGACACAGAGCAGCAACCACATATGCAGCCGGTGGATCAGAACAGCCAAGGCCCGCAACTCAATGGCCAGGAGAACCCCAGGAATCCCATCGAGCAGCGTCCACGCGGAAATTCATCACAAACGAACACGGACGTGGAAGACCTACCAGCCCCCCGTCCGATCCCGGCTGCTGATGGAAACAAGACAAGGCGAAACTCGGGTATCTTCTCGAGCCTCCGAAACAGGGTTGGGGCAGGCACTCCGGTCACCAGTGATGCAGTTTCCGATGCCAGTGTCATGACGGACGAAACAGGAGGACAGCAGCAGAGACGCGCTCAAATGTTCAGTGCGCTAGGTTCCGGAGCCGCGACGGAGGCCCCTCAAAGTAAAGAGAGCATCATGGCTCATGGCAGCACCACGCCCGTGAATGGCGGATTACAATCACCCCTTCCGCAGCACCAGCAACAACAGCCGAAGAAGAGTCGAATGGGTCTTAAGGCCATGTTCAGTCGGTCATCGCAGCAGGATAGTTCCCGACCGTTCGGAAGCGCGCAACCAGCCAGGCCTACAACGCAGGGTCAAGCTCAAACTCAACATCAGGTACAGCATCCCGTTGCTGCGAGTGGCGCCAACCCAATGTATCCGCTGCGGCCAAAGACTTCTGGCCAGGTCCTCCCCCAGCAACATCAATCTCTTGCCTCGATTTCCGAAAGCGAAAAGGCTAGGAAACCTTCTGGTGGAATATTCGGCATGTTTAAAAACAAGGACACAAAGCCGGGGTCAGGTACAGGGGCTGGTCAGCCGCTCATGGACCCCAGGCAGACGCTACAAGGTATGGGACGAGGACAAATGGCGATGCCGTCCCCTGGGCAAGGACAATTCTCTCAGCAGCAGTATCGTCAACAGTTCCCAGTTGGCCCAGATGGGAAGTTGGTAATTTTCCCTGGTCAGCTTCCTCCTCAGCATCAGCAGTTCATGCAACAAGGCCATCCGGGCATGTATCAGCCGCAGAAGATCCAGATGCAATGGCAAATACCAGAGCAGGACCGACCCCCCGTCAACATGCAGCAGTCTCGGCCTTCGCTGCAAGGTCAAAATGGAGGCCCACAGGATCAGCCCCAACAACAGCATCAGCAGCAACTCGACGCTCGTCAAGGTCAAAGTAATGGCCAAAATGCGGTCTCTGTCGGTCCTGTAAGCCCACCAGTTGCTTCTCCGATGCCTTCAGACAGTCAATCCGCGGCACATCAGTCTCGTCCCCAGCAAAATACACCTCCCGCCACTAATGGACAGGCGCCTCCGGCGGCAACGAACGGAGGCCACGCCCGGACATTCTCTCAAGGTAGTAATTTACCCAATATGTATACTCTCGGCATGAACGGTATTCAGTCAGATCAGTTACCTGCGCGAAAGCCGGTAGGGTCCAGGGTTGTCTCAGCCCAGATCCCTTCCAGTCTTCTGCCACCGCAACAACGCCAAAGAGGAGCTTCGGTCTCCTCAACTCAATCTCCTCAACCCCAGAGTTTACCGAGCACACAACCCCCGTCGAGCTTGGGAACCCAACGCCCTGTGGACTCCCAGCACACATTGGCATCCCAGGGCGGGATGTCTCTTCCCGATGTTCCCGCCTCTAACCAGCGGGCGGACCAAGAAAGGTCCGGTACGCAAGACCGGCAATACCAAGGACCAGGTCGCCAGCAAAAACCGCAACATATGCCCGCTGGCTCGCAGAGCCTTGTTGAAGGCACTTCCAACCAAAACATCCCTTTCGCTGGCCATTCACTATCTCTCGTAGCAACCATGGGGCCTGGCTTCCCGGTCCAACAAGAGCAACAACCACCTCAGAGACTGCCGCCACCTAGCCCCGGTTTTCCCCCTAGAAACGTCATGACTATAGCCCCTCCGCCCAAGGAGAAGGAGCAGAGCACTATTTCCAAGCTTTTCAGAGGCACTAAACAACAGACGTCGCCAACAACCTCTCAGGAAAAAGGAAAGTCGTCTTTCATGAGCGCTTTGAAACGGGGCGGCAATACCAAGCAAGGAGATGCCCAGCCAAGGTCCCCTGCTCAGTCTCCTCAAGCCAACCAAGGACAGTTTCAGCCAAACCAAGCTCAGATACGAGAACAAGCACAAAGGCCGCAAGGTTTACAACCTCCTCAAAACCAATTTCCGGGACAGCCGCAACAACAACCACAACAAAAGTCACCGCCGGGACTGAGAGAACGACGGCCGAGCCCGCATCTGCAGTATCAAAATGAGAGGCAGGACCCGTCCAAAGCTCCTAGCCCACCGGCGCAAGTAGATCTGGCCATGCGCCTACCTGCCCAGCAGTCATCACAGCAGCCTACGCGTTCATCTGCTACATCCGCTCCTGGCGTTCTCGATAAGCCAAGACCTGCGCCCCAGATGTTCGAGCAACAGACGCAGCAACCTTTGGCGCACGGAGAGCCAAATCCAGCCCCTGGTTTGGTTCAAGAGCAGAGGCCGCCGATAGCTGGACAGCCTTTGCATCCCAGCCAGATGGCAGGTCAAGCTCAAGCTCAAGCTCAAGCCTTTGCAGAGCAGCAGTTTTTCCAAGCGCAAGCTCAGGCCCATTTGCATGCCCAGATGTTTCAAAGGTTTCAACAACAACAACAACAACAACAACAACAACAACAACAACAACAACAACAGCAACATCATCAACAACATCAACAACAACAAGCCCAGTTTGCTGCTCAAGTCTCACGCTCAGATCAACCTCCAACTCAAGGTCAAGGTCAAGGCCAGAACCCACCGACATCTGCTCCTCCGGGTCAAGAGCCTCGGTATGCCCAGATGCCCATTCCAGCTGGTTATTTCCCTGTGCACCAAGGGATGACCCAAACCTCTTCGCCTATGGGCGTGCCGATGTCATACTTCGTAAATGTTCCTGGCCAGCCGCCGCAAGGTTATTTTATGCCGATGCCAGGGCAAGTGATTCCTCCAGGGATGCCTGGGATGCCGCATATGTTGCCTCCTGGGTTTGTCCCCGGTCAACCTTTTGTGTACGCTCCTCATCCCGGTGGGCCTATGCCTCCTCGTGGACCTCCTGGAAGCATGCCCATGGCTGGACCTCCGGGAAGCGTACCCGCGACTACGCCTCCTTCCACTGGCGGCACCCCTTTCTTTACCCCACCGACTTCTCATGGAGGACCTCAACAGATGTTTCATGTTCCCGTACACCCATCATCACCTCCGCCGGGCAGTGAGCACTCCGTACAGCATCCTCCAAGCATCTCGCCTACTCCTCCTCCGTTCATCGGAACATCAAGACAGGCTAGCGACCTTTCTCCTCAGCCTCAGATGCAGTTCCAACAGCCAACGCAGCCATCCCCGTCTCCGCCAAAATGTCCCCTTCCAAACACGCCTTTCTCGCCAGTGGGCCCGGACGCTGTTAATGTTCCGAACCCGCCGCTTCCGCCGAGCGAACCACAGGAGCAGCAACAGCAGCAACAGCAGCAACAGCCCAACCCGGGCCTCATCCCCCAACGACAAGTCAGCCAAGTCAGCGCCATGTCCATGCAGCCCAGTAACGGATCGCCATCAACGAATGTGATTTCACCCATCTCGAACGACAGCGGAGTGACGCAGATTCCCGAGGGAGGAGGACAGGAGCAACTTTCTCGATCTGGATCCGCGGCTCTTCCTCGGGATTCCAGGACCATCGTCCCAGAACCAGTTAATGTAGCCCAGAAACCTGAAGATTCAGGGATTGACGAGGATAGTAATGGAGATGAGAACAGCAAGAAGGGTGAGAACGACGACCATCATCCGTGGAACGGAATCACCTTGGACAGTGACTCTAGGGCTGTTAGTCCGGAACCGCTGCTGTATGAACATGGGCCTATGACACCGCCGCCTACCACGGTTAGCTTCATCCGCGCGCAGGCACAGGAAGTTCATGTGCACCGGTCGCCGGATAGGCATGTGGGTGATGGCAATATTTATGATGCGACGCCAAGGCAGTCGATTAAGTCACCGGTGTTGTTGCCCAGGCGCGATTCCATGGAAGAGGAGAATGAGACTGATCTCCGAAAGACTGAGGATGAAACTTTCAATGCGAATGAGAAGAGCGATGATGGTTTAGGTAACATTCGTGATGAATCGCCTGCGAACGGGAACAGCCATTTCATCGTTGCTCCTATCAATGGTGGTGGCAATGAAGTCAACAAATCGGCCGAGCCAACTCCAGTTCATCAAGCGCCCTACGAAGCCAGAGATGTTGACCACGGAAAAGCTGTTGGAGTGGAGGATAACGAGAAGGAGGAACCAGTTATTCCAGGCCATGTCGAGCATAATGAGCCACAGCAGCAATCCCAAATCGCCGACGTCACGATTGTCCCTGCCGACGAGACCGCCCAGTCTCCCAAGCCGACGAAGGATGCGGTTGATCAGCAGCAGCCGCAGCAACATCAGCCGCTTCAACCTCAACCTCAACCCCAACCTCAACAAGGAGCCGCTTTACCATCAGCATCACCACCACCACCACCACCAGCACCAGTACCGGCACCGGCACCGGCACCACAACAACAGTCCATCATCATCATCTCCCCCGAGCCTTCCCCCTCCCAAAGCCCCGAGCCAAGCAAACCACAACTCCATCAACCCCAGCCCACCGAGAATAACGGTGCCATCACTACCGCCTCCGGCTTCCTCATTTCCTCCTACCCCTCCAACCAAACCGATCCCTCCAATCCCAAAGGAATCCTAAAACCCCTCACTGACCGCTCCATCTTCGAAGAAGCCAAGCGGAAACAACTTCTCCGCGAGCAAGAGGAGAAGATCCCTGTGTTTTCGGATGATGATGATTACATGAAGCAGCAGAACAATGGGACGGGGACGGGAGCGGCGGGAACGGGAAACAAAAAGAAGGAAGATGAAGATGCTGTGCCGATGATGAGCGCTACGAGTTATCCGGGGCAGGAGTGGAATCCGTATGAACTTGGGATGGGGGGCGATGGCGGGGAGGGGTGGGAGGATTGAGGTCGGTTATTGGGATTTTTAAGAGTTGAGTGCACTTTGTTGGGAGGGAAGGAAGGGGTGGGCGGATGATGGAGGAGACAGGACATGGGAATGAAGGAAGGAGGGAAGGAGGGAAAGAGTGTTAGTGGGTGATGGCGCAAGGGGAGGAAAGGAAACAAAATAATTGCCGAGCCGAGAGAGGATGGCAAAACACTCTCTGTGTCTAGTTCGTGCCATGAAGACGGGAGTGGCATGGCTATTAAACTTTTTTTCGTTTCGTTTAGTTCCCCTTCCTACTTTGATTCGCCCTGTTCCGGGCTCGATCTTCAAGCATAACTGTTTACTATTATCCAGACATCAACGTCGATACATTTTTTTTCGATTCTCCAGTTTCATCGGCTTTGGTGCCTAATTACTGTGGCTGGTTTTCAAAATGTTTAGAAACACTTCTCTTAATAGCATACATATATTTACCTCGTTAGCAAAGTACTTGCTTGGGTAGGTCGTCAACCCTTGTTGGAGAGTGAGTAAGACATTCAGCTATTTAAGTCAAGCAGAGTGGAGCCTCAACTAGTGTAGTTCGTGCCTGACTAGTTCTAGCATTTGGAACCACCAAGAACAAAAGCAAAAAAGGGGTTAGTTAGGTTGAGGTGAACTGGCGGGCAGGCAGGCAGGCCACGCGACGTCGTGACAGGGGACTCAAATGATGGGGAAAAGAAAAAAAGGGGTCCGCGCGTGTGTGCACGATCTTTTTGTTGAAGCTGGTTCCTGAGTCGGTGAGCGGGACAATTTCCGGCAAGACCGCACGCAAGTCGTCCGGCGCGGTCGTGTCCGATTCATGTGTGTTTGAAAGGAAATGAATCATATGTGCAAAATTCATTCATATGAGAGAACGTTGTTCATTCTGAACCACATACGTTTGTTTGTATTTCAGGAGGGTTTATGCATTATGCTAAAGGATGTGCAACTAGCTAGCTGGTCTGCGTGTGCTTTATCGGATCCTTCGAAGTTCATATCAGCACATGTGCTTAGCTAGTTCCCCGGATGACCAACTAACTCTCTTCTCCTGTCATTATCCCTCTTCCCTCCTAATAAACCCCAAAGTAAGTATAAGTAACGACATATTGAATAGGTGAAAGTACATGCGAGGAACGAGCGTGTGTGGCTGTTGAATAGACCCGATTAAGTTAGTATATAGCCATCCTTCTTTCCTTCCTGGCGTAAGTGTGGAAGCAGCTCCGCCCCCCTGGCCTTTTATCCTTTCGTTGAGGTGATTTGTATAATCAAATCCCCCGTTTTCTCCTTGTGTATAATGGGGGGTTGTGGGAGAGAAAACGGTGCCCATGCGGCTTCCGTATCATATAATACAGTTATGCTAAATATAAAAAGGAGCAAGACAAAAAAAAGTAAATACGATTAGCCTGAACCAAAACGCCCGATATTTTCAATGTTGCGCCTCCCAAAAATGTATGAACCAAAAACAGCTTAGTAAAAACAGAAGCGAAGAAAAAGGGGATGATCAAAGCAAAACGGAAGCCCAATTTTGCGGTTTGCCATCAAATAAATCGTAATAATTCAAGCTGGGAAAGCCCCGGATATCGTCACAGCAAGTTCCTTTGGTTCCTCAGTTGCTGGCTCGACCTCGGAGGCGACAGGCTGCTTGGGGGTATCTTCGGTGGATGGCGGGGATTGGGTAATTTCCGCTTCAAGGAACTCGAACTTGTTAGCGGGGGTCTTGGGCTCCTCCGAAGCTAGCTTGGTCTGTTCGGTAGGTCCATCCGTGTCGTCTGCCGGAGCTTCGACCATTTGTTCGATGAATTCAACCTGCTCTTCAGACACCTCGCTGATCGCGATAGGTACCACAACCTCTTCCACGGGCGCTTCGTCCTTCTGTGTGATCTCGGGTTGGTCGACAGGCTCCGGGGCAATATTGGAAATGAGTTGCTCAGGCACCTCGGGAATTTCCGTTTCCGAGCTCTCCTGTTGGATCGCATCTGCCACCTCCGCCACGGATACCGCCAATTGTTCAACTTCAGCAGCAGCAGGCGTCTCATCTCCATCCTTGTCAGCTTCGAGACTCGTCCTGGAGCTCTTGTCACCCCGAAGACTCGGGGCTCGACTGGGTGCCCGACTATGGCTTGTGTGGAAATGGGTGATCGGGAGCACACCGCCACCGATACGGCTCCAAAACATCTGCTCCCGTAACCGTACGCTTTCGGCCCATGCTGCCTTCTCAGCATCCTCGTCATCCGCTCGCCAGTGACCGTCCTTGACTATGCGAAGAAATCCTAAGAAATCGCATGTTGATCGGACTCGGGACAGGCAATACCTGCATAATGCATATCCAGTTTGCGCGGAACCGGTTTCGCTGATCCGAAATCGATGTTTCCGAAGAAATTCCTCCTCTGGCCTGGACTCCCCGCAGAGAGAGCACGGGCTCAACTCGGGCCTCGAAACCCTGCCGAACCTGCTAGTTGTTGTTGTGGCAGCTGGGACTGGCTCTACTACAAGCGAGCCGTCAGTCATCGCTGTAAGGACACTCCTCCGGGCAAGCCAAGAAAGCCCTGGAGCGATATCGAGCCGTAGTGTTGGTTCAATATCCTCGGTCAGGACCCTCTTGTAAAACCTGGTATCCTTCAAGGCCGGCAGAGGGATGGCAGCGGCGCCGGGGCTGGCGGTAACGGCCGTTGTGGGTGTAGTCGAGGTTTGGGAGAAGGTCGATTGGGCAGTTGCGATGGTCGAAAGAGACGTGCTGGAGGCATTGGCGAGCGCAAGATGAGCACCTACCGATCCTAAGCCCAGGCCGAGAGACGTCAGTGCAGAGCCGGTAGATGGTGTGGGTACGCGCTGCTGGGCAGAGATCCTCTTGGATGTGCGAATGAGATCTTTGAAGTCGTTATACGATGCTAGGTCGGTACGAAGTACGGGCTTCAACAGATAAGTAAAACTGGTAGGGTACGAAGGAGACATGGACTCGGCCACGCTAAGTTGGCGGTCGTGATGCCCATGGTGTAAGCGATCGGAAAGGCCTTCCTCATTTTGCAGCTCAAACTTGCTGAAACCTGGAGAAGAAGGCGCCGTTGGAGGTATCTGCTCGTGCTTCTCGGCGCTCATGTCCTCCATAAGGTGCTTTAGCTCGGCTAGTTGCTCCTGTTGTGATTTGAGTAATCCCTCGGTATCCACGAGTTGTGCCCTGAGTTGGTCGTTCTTCCGTTGCAGTATCTCCTGTTCAATCCTGGCCTCTTCCTTGGCAGAGATGACCATTTTGTTGGCTTCCTCGAATAGGGCGGCTGTCAGGTTCTCCAACTCCTGTTCAATTTTCTTCTTTTGCTGTTCAACATCCAAACGAGCCTGCTTCTCTTCGGCAATGACTCCCAACAGCGTTGTCTTTTCCGCCTCGACGGTTTTCCTCCGTATCCAAACATCACCAGCCAGCATCTCCCTTTGTTCCTCCACTGTCCGTTCAAGTTGCCTGATCTTGTCGCGTGCCTGCTCTAGCTCCATTTTTGTTTGCGATAGGTTATCATCCAAGGTGGTCTGGTGGTTGATTGCATTGATCAGTTTCGTGCTGAGAGTGGCCACCTCCTGATCGAGGTCGGGATGGTGATGACTGGTCATGGAAACTCCGCTTGCAGGGCTCATAGCCCGGCTTCGGGGATCGGGGAGGGTCGTCAATTCATTCTCATCATCTATGGGCTGCGGGGAGAAAGGTCGTCTAAGGCGAGGGGTCGACGGTGCTGCGTTGGCAGAGGCTGGCTCGCTAACGGATGGTAGTTCGGGTGTTGCATCGGAAATCGAAGCCCTCGAGGCGCTGTTTCGGCTGAGGATGCTGGAGAGAGATCGGGTGTGGCTTTTGGAGAGGCGTCCGTTGGCCGGTATCGGTATCTGGTGCGAGGACCAGCCCGTCACAGTGACAAAGCTTTGCCATAGTCCGTTAGTGGTGGAGACGGCAGCCATGTGAGAGCTTGTAGGGATAGATGCCATCGAGGTGAGCCTCAAGGGTAAGTGAGTGTATCAGGAGTGGTAGCTGCTAGAGGACCCCAGGAAGGGATAATCCAGAACTAGTACCCCAACTTTGGGGGACCATGGATGCCCGGGTTGGGCAAGTCACTTCAGCGCACGAGACACTCGGCTGTACAACCCAAGAAGAGCCTGCGGACAAACTTGAGGGTGTAACAAGAGAGATTCCAAGCACGCATAGCGGGATGGAGAGTCTAGAAGAGGGCCAGGGACTTACGAATCCAGCTTGTCGGCGTTGGTAAGGACCACACCAGGGACTGGCGGGTCCTGTAAAGGAGAAGCTGGAGCGACAGGGAAGGGCCTAGGCGGCGGCGTTGTGCTTTCCGACTCTATCGTGGCGTGCAATGGGCGCACCGGGCTTGTGTCGGTCGAGAAATGCTGAGAAGGTCTGGGAAGCAAACGGGAGTGTCGCAAGGATGGGAAGTCGCGTGGTGCGCTGAATGGGGTCGATACGGGAAATTGACTATCTAGTGGTTGGTGTGGTTGGGGGCTTGTATAACGTCGTTCGGTAGAAACAAGTCGCTTAATGGCAAGCCGAGTATGACAATCTGTAAGACGGAATGGAAGCGAAAATTATAGTTGGAATAGAGTAGTTGGGATCCGGCTTGCGGGTGTGTGGTATGGACAGGACAAGGAGCGAAGAACTGTAGCGAAAAAAGGACGGACGACAGGCTCCAAGAGAGAGCAGATGGCAGATGAGCGACAGATGACAGATGATGATGGATGTGTGTGGCAGCAGATCGGGGCGAAAGCAAGTCCAAGTGGAAAGTGGAAAGTTTGTCGGGGATATACGCGTGGATAGCGTTATGGCGCAGAACAGCACTGCAGCCAGCTTCCACTTTGCAATCTCGAACCCACCGGGCTGTATCGGTACTAGTACGGAGTAGGTACGGATCCGTGGTCTGCGACTTCCAGGTAGTGGCCGGGGCTAGCGATTGTCGTTAATTTATCACTGCGTTGGTACCAAGACAATTGTCATTGGCGCCTTCCGTGTTTCCCAG